GTCTGGACCCTTCTTCGGAAACGGATTTTTGAAGGGTCCAGACCTGAAACGTCAGCTTTCCTGCTCCTCTGACGCTGCCTGGCCTACTGTGTTCATCCAGCTCTACCCCTTGTTATCTCAGATTCTCCAGCATTGGCCGTTCCTACTATCTCTTTGTATGATGAGATCGACTTTGAACACCTATAACCAATGTCAGTGTTAATGTTCCATTGGCTTTTCGTTCACACAGTTGCTGTTTCTGAATGTTATGTTTTAAAAAGATCTGTTTTCTAAGTTAGGTTCAGATTTTTATCATGAATGGTGTTGAGCTTCTAAAGTGGTATTGGAGCTGCACTCATCCACGCTAGAGAATGTTCAGTCACTCTCCTGTCCTTTGACAGTAGAGAGCTGAAAGGCTTTGGAGAGTCCACCTGTCAGTTACTTCAGTCATTGACCCACTCCTGTAATACTAATATATACGTGGCTGGTCAGATGGTCCAGTTCATTTTCTGGTAAATGGCAACCCCCAGAGTGTCAATAGGGTACTGAGCAATGGTCATTCCACTCAATGTGGAAGTACAACTTTATGAAGGGGGAAATTGTTTTTGGCAAATTTATTGGCATCTTGTAAGGACGTAATAAGCAGGACAAATAACGGGGAACCAATAGTTGTATTATTAGAATTGCCAAACAGCATTCAATAAATTGCCACATAATTTGCTACACAAGGTAAAAGCTCAAGTATTGAATCTGATGTGTTAGCAAGGGTAAGGGCCATCTAACAGGAAGCAGAGATTTGTGGAAGTGGGTTGTTTTCAGGTTGGCAAACTATAACTAGTGGAGTGCCTCAAGCATCAGTTTTCTGGCTCAATTATTTACAATCTAAATGAATGACTTGGATGAAAGAACCAAATGTATTGTGGCAAAGTTTGTTGATGATACAGAGATAAGCAAGTTGTGAGAACAGTGCAAAACAAAAAAGTTGACTGAATGGGAAACAGTTTGACAGTTTGAGTATGATGTAGGAAAATGTGAAACTTATCTACTTTGTACGAAGAATAGAAAAACTTAATATATAAACAGAGAGAGAGACGACAACTAGTGCAATTAAGAGTGATCTGGATGTTTTCATACATGAGTGACCGAAAGTAAGAATGCAGATACAGCAAGTATTTAGGAAGCCAGACAGAATGTTGGCCTTTATTGCAAGATGGATAACGTGTAAACGAAGGGAACTCTTACTATGACTTTACAGGACTGTAGTGAGACCGCACCTAGAGTATGATGTATAGTTCTGTACGGGACATGGAAATAGCCCACCTACAGTACTGTGTATAGTTTTGGTCTCTTTATTTAAGAAGGGATAAACTTGCACAAAAGACAGTTCAGGAAATGTTCACTAGGCTGGTTCCTGGGATGAGGTGCTTGAGGAAGATATAGTGAGGAAAAGTTGAACAAGTTGGGCCTTATTCAAATATGCAGCATTCTGAGGAGCTTGACAGGGTAGATGCTGAGAAAATGTTTTCCCTCCTGAGTGCATCATACATAAAGTGGTCGAGTTTCAGAATTGACATGGTGAAATTTCTTCTTTGAAATTCTTTTCTCCAAAGAGCAGTTGAGGCTGAGTCATTGAATATATTCAGGGCTGAGCTGAATTGATTTTTGATCAACAAGTATGTCCTGGATTATGGAGGCAAGATGATCAGTGGAATTAAGGCCATGATCAGATCTTAGTTTTATTGAATCTTATTGAATGGCTTATGAATGTTCTTGCATTGCATAGACTACTTCATTATCTGAGGAGTTTCAAATGGAAGTGAACTTTGTGCAAGCACCTGTGAATCTCCCCACTTCTGCCCTTACCTTGAAGGGAAGGTCATTGATGAAACAGCTGAAGATTATTGGATCTACAACATTGTCCTGAAGTTCTCCTTCTATTCATGTTATTCATGAGGCGTAAATGATTAACCTTTTTAAAGCGATAACAAGGTGTAGAGCTGGATGAACACAGCAGGCCAAGCAGCATCAGAGGAGCAGGAAGGCTGACGTTTCGGGCCTAGACCCTTCTTGGCCTGCTGTGTTCATCCAGCTCTACACCTTGTTATCTCAGATTCTCCAGCATCTGCAGTTCCTACTATCTCTGAAACCTTTTAAAGAGACAGTCTTTCTTTGTGCTTGATATGAGTTCAACCAGTGGAGTGTTTTTCCAGTTCCCACTGATTTTAATTTTACCAGGGTCCTTGAAGCCATACTTGGTCCAACGTTATCTTGATCTTAACAGATGTCTACCCCCGACTTGCCCCCTTGAGTTCAGCTCTTTTGTCAGTATTTGAGGCTGACATGAGGTCAGGAGCTGAGTGACCCTGGTAGAACTCAAAGTAAGCGTCACTCAGCAGGTTATTGTTAAACAAGTGCTGCTTGATAGTAATGTTGATACCCCTTCATTCACTTCACTGGTGATTACAAGGAGACTGATGGGACAGTATTTGGCCGGATTACATTTGTCCTGCTTTCTGTGTACAGGACATAACTGTACAATATTCCACATTGCGAGGTCAATGCCTGTGTTGTAATTGTACTATAACAGCTTGGTTACAGGTACCTCCTAGTTTTGGAGCACGTTATCAGCATTATTACTGGCATATTGTCAGGGTTCAGTAGCCTTTACAGGATCCAGTGACTTCAGCCATTTCTTGATATCACGTGAGGTGGATTATTCTTAGAATCCCTACAGTGTGGAAACAAGCCCTTTGGCCCAACAAGTCCACACTGAACCGCAGAGCATCTCACCCAGACCCACTCCCCTGTAACCTACCTAATCTACTCTGACACTATGGGCAATTTAGCACGGCCAATCCACCTAACCTGCACATCTTTGGACTGTGGGAGGAAACCCATGCAGACACAGGCAGAATGTGCAAACTCCACACAGACAGTAGCCTGAGGGTGGATTATGTTGGATGAAGACAGCATCTGCTGTGTGCTCCAGAAGAGGCTGAGATGTATTATCTACTCAACACTTCTGGCTGGAAGTTTTTGCAAGTACTTCCGCCCTGTCTTTTGCACTGTTGTGTAGGACTCCATCATTATGGAGGATATTTGTGAAGCTTCCTCCTCCACTGATTTATTTAATTGTCTATCACCATCGATATTTTATGTGGCAAGACTGCACGTCTTGAAACTGAGCCGTTAGTTATGGAATCGCTTAGCACTGTCTGTTAAATGCCGCTTGTGTTGTACAGCACACAAGTAGACACATGTTGTACCTTCATCAGATTTTTAGGTTTGCCTGGCATTGCTTCTGACCTGATCTCATTTAATTAGGGTTGATTGCCAATGCATCATTTTCTACACACAACTAAAGATCAAGATTCCCCTTCTAAATTTTAAAAAGTATTCCTTTTCTTTTTGTTTTTCTTCTTTCATTCTCAATCCATCTTTCCCTCCCTTTATTTCTGGTTCTAATACATCATTTTCCTTTCCCATTGTTCATAGTTACTTCCTTTTTTACATTTAAAAAAGCCATTGATCGCTACATTCATGAGGTCCCAGGTATACTGTTGACAGTGCAGTGTCATTCCTGGTTCATATTTCTAGCAAGTTGCAACACAGAATGTGTTGCAATCTTAAAAAGTGAGAAGAAAAGATCTAATTCGTGCTGCTTGCCATAAGATGTGCCATTCCAGTAACTTGGTCCAACCAGAAGTATGGCTGTTGAGCAAAATGTTGCCTGGGAGTATTGTCTTCAATGTGAATTAAACTGCAATCCACCACCTAATTCAGTATTTATATTTTTCCTCCTTTTATATATTAAGAATTGACTAGCCATGGGTGTCTCGAGATCAGCTTTATTACTGGAAATCAAAGTCAACTTACAGTATTCTGCATTTATTACTGTCGCTTCTTTGTTTTCCTTCTGGAGAAATGTTTGTCAGCTGGATTCAGTCCAGGAACATTTTAACAAATTACTAAGTGCAGTGAGCAGTGATGTCAATGCAGTGCCAGTGAGTAGTGAATGAGCTAATAATGGTGTAGCAAAATAATGGCTTACAGTATACTGCTGTCTTGCACCTCCATAAAAGTTAATCTTGCTAAATAATATAATGTGGAAGGTAAATATGAATGTTTGCTATATTGCAAGTATCTAAGTAATTTGGTTTTCAAAAATGTTGTTATTAATTGGTATGTAGGTAATTAATTCCAAGCCTAATCAACAAATCTAGGATTACATACTAGCAGGAAGTTTAGTGGTTTTCTGGCCACAACCGGTGTGGGAGTTGGGGGATGGTAGAAACAAAAGGTGCATGAACATTTCTAATAGAAGACCAGTTTTAAGAAGTTTTAAAGTCATATTGAGAATTATCGGTTTTTCTTATCTTGTCAGTGTCCAGAATCAAGTGGATGAAGTTATTGATGTGATGCAGGAGAACATCACTCGAGTGATTGAACGAGGGGAGCGACTTGATGAACTACAAGACAAATCTGGTAAAGCCAGTTGCTTGCTTTATTTACACTTCAATTTAGTGAGGCATTGACTTACTGTTGTATCTTAAACACATCATTTAGGTACCTCCTTTTACTTTGATAAAAGTGCCTTAGTCTTGACCTCTGAATTAATTCCCTCACAGCACTGATATAATGCTGTTTGCCTCTTAGACTGGTTATTTTTGCATCAAGTTAGGGGTAGTATAATGTGGAGTTCCAGGCCTTCCACAGCTGAATTGAAACTTCATTTCTTGCGTATAACAAGGAAAATATCCTTTCGTAATGTATTTAAGCTGAATTGGAAGAAAAATGACAAGTGAAAATGGGATGTGTATGCAAGTAAATGCAGCGCTTGTAAGAATATGAATAGACATTCAGTTTCTCAGGCCTATTCTACCATGTAATTAAATTGTGACTGATCTGTACCTCAACTCCCAACTACATACCTTTGATCCATTTTCCTTGAAACCCTTAACTTATCTGTTAAATTCAGTTGTGGGAATTTCAGTTTATCCTCAGAACCTATTGTCTTTTTGGGGCAAAAATTGCAGTTTGCCACTGCCCTTGTTAGTGGCTGGACAAGTTGTGAAAGTGGTTAAAAAGATAAACACAATCTTGAGTGTTCTAAATAGTACAAAAGCAAAGAAATTATAATGAACCTTTACAAATCCTTAGTTTAGCCTCCACTGGAGAATTGTTCCCCCTTCTGAGCAGTGAACTTTGGGAGCAAATTGAAGAGTTCCATAGTTATTTATGAGAGTGATTTCAGCAATGAGGAACTTCAGTTAATATATTGGAGAAGATGTGGTTGAAGAGAACGTTAGGTGGACTTCTGATAAAGCTATTCAAAATAACAAAGGTCAAGAGAGTTGTAGAAAGAAACTGTTCTGGTTGGTGACACGGTGGTCAGCCAGTAGACACAGATTTTAAAGAATCTGCAAAAGAGCTAAAGCAAAATGTTTTCACACAACAAGTGGTTACAGTCTGGAATTCACAGCTTAAAAAGGTGGTGGAGGGAGTTTCAATCATTGTTTCAAAAAGGCATTGAGTAAGCACCTGAAGGGAAAATAATTGCAGTCCATGCGAAAGAGGCTGGTGAATAAAGCAGTTAAATAGTCATAGCAGTGAGCCAGCATAGACTTAGTGGACTAAATGGTTTCCTTCTCTGCTGTAATCATTTATAATGCTTCACTACAAACTGGCCATTGTAATTTAACCCTTTCAGTCCTGGAATAATTTAGGTGAACCTGCGTATCTGAGCTTGTTAGCTGCTGCTACCAAACTCAACTAATTTGCATTGCATTCCTGTATAGGAACAGTCCAAACACTGAGCCCTAGCCGCCCATTCATAGCTTATCACCAACTCAACCATCTGTATTAATTCTGTAACAAATGCCCATTGTTTACATACCTTTTCAGTGACTTTTGTATTAATTCCCAAAATATACTGTGAAGGTCTACAGCTTAGATCTTGCTTAGTAACCTTTTTATGATGTATTTAGCCTTCCAAAGGACAATGTATCACAGAGGCTATGTTCCTCCCCACCACCCACCTACCTGCGTTGCTAAAAAGTCCAGTTTGGTTGCTACGTCTTAAAAGATGGCAATTTGTCAGGCTTTCCCTTCTTCAGAAGTGATGTTGGCGGCAGTTCACAAAATTATTGCTATAATAACAAATGGAAAAGCATTGTGGCTTCTGAAAATCAGAAATGAACAATAATTGAAGTGAATTTTTATTTGAATGTCAAGCAACAGTAGAACCGTTTGGATTGCAAGTCTTAAACGATGGGATTTAATCACTATTTTGAGAATGAAGAATCATTTCTCCATATATTTTATAAATCTGGAAAGGGAAAAAAATGCAAATTTTTCACTTCACTATAAGCAATGTTTAGTGTAGATTCTGAATAAGACATTGTTGATTTCTGTTGCCTGGGAAGGAAAACTATTGAAATTGTGAAAGAAGTTGGTCTAATAAATGAACATTAGTAGTATTTCCTTGCTTCTCTTCAATCCAACTGTAGCAAGTACTGAACCCAGATAAAGCGACTTGTGTTTTGTTATCTGGCTTCTCGGTAATTTCAGGCACTTTACTTTTAACTAGTGTTGGAAAACTGCTCGTCCTAATTCTATTTGAATTATTCATTGACAATTAGCTGAGCAGTGGTAGAGGGGTCCTAAACTGTGTACTATTCTTCAATTTGTATAATAATGTAATAATGAGTTTATGATGGTGATAAAGCTCAGATATGATGGGTTTTTCTTTTGGGAAGGGCTGTGAATGACAATAAATATCAGAGATGCATAAACAAGGGAGCATTCAGTAGAGGGCATACCTTTGTAATGCTGTGTTAACTTACTGTTATTACAATTATATAGCATCTTCCTTGAGGCATTTCCTTCCTCATTGATGCTTTGCAACTTCAAAGCTGAGATAACAATTATTTTATTTAGATCCTTCATCTGGCTAAGGAGGCTTTGGGCTCATCTACATCTAACAAGCTACTCTGCAAGAGCTCTGCTCACATTTTGATAGCTGTGACAAATTCCATCACTGCAGATGAGGCAATCCACAACGTTCTAAGTATAACAGCTGTCAATCTTGGACAGCAATTTCTCTTTTTGTAGCTGTCAATTTGACCTATCTCCATATTTTAAGGGACCCTTAAAAAGATTCCATTATCTGGATCTGCACGTCCATTAAAAGTTACTCAGTTCTTCCAAGGGCTGTTCCCTATCTGCTTATCAGGCTTTGTTAAAATCTAGCCTGTAGGTCTTGAGATACATTGTTAACCAACAAAAATACCAACAATTAGCGGCAAAAACCCTACTTCCATCTGCCTTCAGTTTTCTACTTGAGATTCAGCTAACAATTACCTGCTCTAATTTTCAGTCTTTGAAAGTCACTGAACAACATTTGATTATCTTTTCACCTACCTTTTTGTGGATGAAGCCCCAGAATTCAACATAGATTCTTGAGGATACGCAAGGTTGCATTGTTCGTAGCTGCAGCTGAAGGAGCATCTGGGGACATTGAGGGACTTTGACAAATTAGTAATTTGGTCTTGAGGCCATCCATAATTTGGCTGTTTCAACCACTACACCAGATATGAGATTTTCAATGGCTTTTCATTTTTAATCTTTATGCATTGTTTTAATAAACAACATTACAGTTCAAAATGAACACATTTCAATTTTGCATCATGCAGGAGGAGAATAAAAGCCCTTGCTGCAAAGTGGTACATGATCTGCACTTATATTCATGAAATTCTATTAACCTGACCTCCCATTTCACTGAACGGGCTTCCTTGTAGCTGGAGCATCATTGTGAAGAACAATGGTTTGATTGTAGAATTTGATTTATTGATCAGATTTAAACTGATTTGTAGGCTTCAAATCTCCTTTTAATTTGTGTTTAAAAATTCTGCCTTGAACCTATTTAATTTCTTTTGCAGAAAGTTTATCTGATAATGCCACGGTTTTCAGCAACAGAGCAAAGCAGCTACGGCGTCAGATGTGGTGGAGAGAATGTAAGGTGAGCGATGTCAAAAGTGTGCAGATGTATGAAAGTGACTGGAGTGGAGATAATTACTAGGTATAAATGTCAGGGAAAGCTAGGATAATGAGTCGTGGGGTACAGCGCTTACTAAGAAGAGATCTCTATCTCTCCAAAGAATTAAGAAAGCCCTTTGACCCAGCCTATGCTGGTTGCATGCCCAGGTATGTTGGTAAGTATTTGAGTGAATATAGTTCTGAGTAAAACAGCATAGCAGAGTAGCTGAAAAGAAGGTAAGTTCTAAAGCTAAAATTCTGGCACCTCTTTTTTTTTATTAATCATGAAACCACCTCAATGTTGTTTTGATTTGATTTTACCTTTGAAAAAAGACACCACTCCCATTTTCTTTGACCATTGAACCTCATCTGTTTTGGCATGTCTAATTACTTTTAAATAACGATTCAGGAACTTCAAAGAATCCATAGAAATAATTAAGTGCATTATATGTATGAAGTAAACCAGATAAATAAGTATCTAGTATCATCATATCAAGTTACCATTCAAAACATACATAAAAGGAAATGGAGTTTTCTGTAATGTGGAAATTTCTTAGCAACAAAGTTAAGAAAATTTCCCATTTCTGATTGCTATCCATTAAACTTCTCTCACGTTGCATTTCTAGACTTTTGGCCTGGCTAGGGCTGAATGAATTGCAGTTTTGATGCCCATCAAAGTTACATTGGCTGTCAACATTCACAGTATGACCTATAGTTATGAGGATTAGCCATCTGAGAGAGTGACACCACAGCAAAGCTGAGTAAAATTTCCTGGAATAAATTTTTTTTTCATTTGCATGATGAGGGCGTCGCTGGCCAGACAGCATTTATTGCCCAGAGGGCAATTCAAAGTCATCAACATTGCTGTGGGTCTGGAGTCACATGCAGGCCAGACCAGGTAAGGATAGCAGTTTCTTTCCCTAAAGGGCATTAGTGAACTAGATGGGCTTTTCTGACAACCGGCAATAGATTCATGGTCATCATTAGACTCTTAATTCAATAAAAAAAAATCTGGAATTCGAATTCCACTATCTGCCACGGCGGGATTGAAACCCGGGTCTCTGGACTAGCAGACCAGTGATAATACCACTGGGCCATACTGTCCCCAAATCAGTCTGTAGCAGGATACGGTTTTGTGTTGTATTTGAAAACAGAATTTACTGTGAGATGAATTTCTTAATGGGTATTATTTGCATATGCTTAGAGAATATAACAAACTGAAGCAACTAAATTAAAGACGTGTTTGTGGTGAAACCAATGTCAAAATGACTTCTAAAAGTAAATAGAGTTAAATTCCTCCAATAATTCAGTATTAGTTGTTCTTTGGAACTGAATTAACCAGATAAAGGAGCCCATAAGCCAAAAATAAACCTGTGTTTTAAGCCATTATTGGCCCAACATAAATAGTCTTTAATTATAGGCTCTGGAACTGGGTATGGATGGTAGAGGGCAACACCTACTTCTGTGAAGTCTGTAGAAAACAAATTGACTGACTGCTCAGAATTAACTATTTGAGCAGGTAGTTACAGGGCTGCAAATTTTGATATTAGTGGTGCCGTATGAATAGTAATGTTTCCGAACATTTTTTTAAAATCTGCTTTTAAAAATATTACAATTAAGCCTCTTAGAAGAGAGAAAGTTTTGAAGGTTTTATTTTGTCTATTCGGAGATATATATATCATGATATATATATGTAATGAAAAGTAATTTAGTTGCAGGCAAGATGACGACATCAAATAGTTAATGTTAAGTTGTTCAAGTTTCCAATCTTCTGAAGTTGTACAGTTTTGAACACCTTCCAAGAATGTGATATTTGTTTTTAATTTGCAGAGAGGATACTAATAGGAAAAATAAAAATATTTCAGTGCTTTTTGTTACTTAATAGGATTAAACTGTCTTGCTGTGAAGTAAATGTAAGGCAACTTTTTTTAAAACTACAGTCCATTAATTTTGTAGAACTGCAGGAAGAAGCATTATTTAAATTTTGTTTGAATCATACTGAAAATAATAATTGATATTCAAAACGTTTAAACTTGAGGTGCACCTGCTGTTTTTAAATGTGAAACTGCGTTATTTTAATAAGAAAAGCTGTGAACGTCCTCTATGTTTAGAATGTGGGTTATCTCACCATATTATCTAGAGATTATGCTGCGAACAACTCCATGGGTTGAGTTGTGGAGAATCAACATCATAGAAATGAACTATTCAGCCCAACTGATCTGCAGCAGTGTTTATACTTGCTTGACTAATATGCTAATTGGCGGCACACTCATTTCTGAGTCAAATGCTTGTGACTTCAAGTCCGATTTGAGGGACGGAGAATAAAATTCTAGGCTGACGATTCAGTCCATTACTGAAGGATTGCTACATTGTTGGAGATGCCATCTTTCAGAGGAGACAAGAAATTGAGGTTTCATCTGTGTTTTCAAGTGAACGTAAAAGATCTCCTTGAACTATTGTTGAAGAGTAGAAAAATTATACTTCGTCTCCCAATCAATATTTATCTTTCAATCAAAATGCTAAAAAAATTTGACTCAGTATTATCACTTTGCTGTGTGCACATTTGCTTTCACATTTCCAACATTACAACTATATTAACAGAGATTTCCTTAAACAAGCACAGAGAATGTTGGAGAAACTCAGCAGGTATGAAAGATTCTGTACTTTCCTGAAGAAGAGTCATTCCAGACTCAGTGTTTCTGACTCCACAGATGCTGCCATACTTGTGCTGAGTTTCTCCAGCATTCTCTCTATTTGTTTCAGATTTATAGCGTCTGCAGTGTTTTATCTGAATGTTTCTTTATTCTGGAATCGACCAAATTTAGCTTGTCTCAATCTATCCTATTGAGCCTTCTATCAGCCAACTCAATTTTCCCTTTTCCAGAAAAATGGGCCCAACCTGTTCAACCTTTCTTCCTACTTGCCTACCTAATTCTTGTAAATCTTTTCTGTACTTGCTGCAGTACCTCTTTGTACCATGGAAACCAGAACTGTGCTTAGCACTGCAAATATGGTCTATCCATGTTTTTTTTTACAAATTTAACATGATTTCCCTGCTTTGGTATTGTAATTTAGTCCTTTGGAAATAAATCCCAAAACTCTGGCATTTTTTATGGTCTTATCAACCTAATTCAATACTTTTAATGATCAATGTTATCTGGATTCTCAGATTTATTGCTTCTGTATTAATGTTCTCCTGAAGTTATAAGCTGGAGGTTACTGAACAGCTGCTCGCAAGTTATTGTCTTTAACATTCTGTGTATGTGTATCCACACAAAAACATTTAAAAGTACAACACAACTAAGCGAACAGTCTGCAAACAAAGTAAGAGGGGATGCCGTTCTCTATCCAATTTAGTATACAATTTTCCAATGAATAAGTAGTTGCCTTATTCCTCCCTGAAAAATTTAGATCTGCTTGTAGGGACCCACTTCAAGTTTTGCCCTGCACCCGTTTCTATTCTACATCCTGTGTTAAATCCCGCTAGTCCGTACTACTTACCCCTCTGGTTTTCATTGGTTCACATACTCAAATGTGTTAAATTGACAGATTCCTCTGTAACTACATTCTGCCTTTCTCACATTGGAATTTCTTCTCCATTAAAGAAGCTAAGTAAATACAAGTTATTTGCAGTGGATGAGGAGAAATAGTCCAGAGCTTTACAACTTGTTCTTTAAATCAAGTTTACTGCATTTTTTCTATATAATCCACTTGTGAACAGAAACATTCATAAAGATACAGCCTTGTATTCAAATGCATTGTTACTCTAAATGTCCTATTTATAACTTGGTGTTACAGCACATGAGCTTTTGCTGCTGGTGGACAAAATCAGTGGGGAGTTATTTGTACTTGAATTGAGCGCATAATATTGTTGAACAAATAAACAATGCGTTTTACCTGCAGAATGATAGAATTCAGTAGAAATTGCAATCTTCCTGAGTTAACTATTTTGGAAGTCTTTACCTCACACTTAAAACAAACACCTTAATTTTAGAGCAATGGTAGGCTACTTGAATGTTTGGAATAGGTTTTTGCTGTCTTAACAGCTCTGTATATATTAATAAAAAGAGACCAAAATGTTAACTCTTGGATTGTCTTACTTCCTGTTCCTCCTTCCTGCATATTCCCACATCAGTGTTAATTTTATTTTCTCTTCACTAGTTCTATTTTTTAATTTGATCCCATCAATATTTCTTTATTCCCCTTTTGTCTAGTGCCCCCTGTTTTCTAACTACCTCAGGGTGCAAGGTGTTCTTAGCTCCTATGATCTAATCAATCTCAGTCAAGATCTATGCAGTGAAATTTCTAATAGTGTTGTTACGGATAAACTCACTAGTTCCCTGTAAAATCCACATTTGAAAAGTGAGTGATTAGGAGACATTTTTGTCTTATTTGTAATTGTTGTACATCACTGGATTACAGAAATTTGTGAAATGTGGAAAATGATTTCCTGTTGCATTTGGTAGGCAACTAACCTTTTCTTCACCCTTAGAGAGATGCCTTTCATTATTTTGTGCAGCATTCTGGCACCAGGATCAATGAATCATGGGAAACATAAAAAGGTTTATTTAACAATCGTGAAACAAGCTGTCTAAAAGTTGATCGTGATGACACCTTTTTGACATCTGTATTTGCTCCCAAAATTGCTCTAATTTATCTTATTTTGTTTCTCTAAATTGGGGTATAATTTTAGAAAGGTTTTGTTGAAGTGTTTTGAAGCATTAGTTATTTGGGAGTTTTATATAGTAGTACAGTTACTGATGTATAAAAATAATTTAACTGAATGGACTTCTAAGAAGTCTTAATAGTCTATCCTGGGAGGAGATCAAGCCACTAAAAATTGATGTAATTACTATTCTAATTTGCATAGAAACTTCAGTTTCAATTAACTTGAATTTAAAGAAGGTAGCTTCATGATTTATTACTTGCAGTGAGGTGCCTTCATGCATTTCATTTCTAAGTATTATATATTGTTCAAGTATCTAGTGATCTCATCCATTATCATTTAAAACACTTAGGTCTATAACGTCTCTGTAATTTGAAAGAATCCCTTAATTCAGCACATGTTGCTGTATTTCAACGTGTGGAACATCACAGTGACAAAATTAGGTTTCATTGAGCTCTTTATAATTTCTGGTGTGTGTTAGTGTTTTGGTTTAATTTACTTGTTTTAAGTGTTTGCTTTTTAACTTTACCTCTTAAATTGTAACAAGGCTTTATAAAAATTGTTACACAAATGGAGCCAGTACTACATTTCAAGAACTTGAGTACAAAGTCTAAACTGATTTTGGAGCATTCTTTTAGATGAGATGTTAAAACTGATTCACCATCAGCCCTCACATTTTGACTTTAAGATCCCACAGCCCATTTTCAGCAAAGAGCAGTGGAGTTCCTTCCAATGTTCTGACCAACATTTATCCCTCATGCCAACATCAGCAAAAGCTACATTGTGATCACTACTTCATTGTTGATGTGGAAGCTTACTGAGTGCGAAACATTGCCATATTTTCTACAGAAGCACTTTGGGATATCCTGCAGTGATGAAGGATACTACCTAAGTGCAAGTTCTTTCATTTGCTAGCAAGAGTAGTATAACAGGAATGCAGGAGGCTTAGTAAATCACATTCTTATGTTGTTGTTTTTGTTATAATTGCATTTCTCTTAATTTATAAGTTGATAATCTGTTCAAAGTCATACCACAATAATGCTTCCATTCTGGTTGATCTGTGGTCTACTTACACAACAGTGTTTCCTAGACCCAAGTCTAATTAAATGTTATATACCAGAGCTAAAAATCTGATTCTTAAAATATGCAACAATAGAAAGTGAAGTTAAAACCATAGTCCAGTACACATTTCCTAAGTTGGGCACAATTTATCTGTGTTTACAGATATTACTTGTAAACAAAGGTTTGGGAAAGTTTGCGTTGTGCTACTTTTTTTTGACCTTGTTACCTTTTTCCTTTCAGATGAAGGTCATCATAGCGGTTGTCGTTGTAATTGTCTTGTTAGTCATTATCAGTAAGTATGTTTGCCATCTTAAAAATAAAAACAACCTGTCAAGTTCTGTACTGTCATGTTCCTGTTGGAATTCTTCTTCAGCTGCACTATTGATGTACATGAGTATGTGTGTCAAGGTAGACCATATTAATTAACTCCCAATATTCTGGTAGAATCATACGTGAGAATCCAGGCTTTCATTTAGTGTCATGCACGTACTTATCTCTACTATGTCTTCTCCTTTATTGCATTACATTTGTCATCTAAAATACCTAATGTTTTAACGAAGATCTGTAGCTCAGGTTGCGGTTTGAGTTGTTGGTTGGGTCGCCAAGCTGACTGGTTTTCATTGCAAATGTTTTGTCTCCCTTCTAGGTGACATCGTCAGTGTTGTGTAGCCTCCTTTGAAGCGCTGTTGTTCTGTCCCGGTCATGGTGGGCAGTCTTGTTTCCAGTTTTGTGCCATAGTGGCATGTAGATGGGGTCTATTTCAATATGTTTGTTAATTGCATCGGTGGTTGAAAACCAGGCCTCCAGGAATTCCTGTGCTTATATAAAATACCATGCAGCAACTGTGAGAAACACTTATTTGGACAGACGGGCAGGAAACTCGCCACCAGGATACATGAACACCCACTCGCAGCAAAACGGCACGACCAACTCTCCCTCGCTTCAATACACTCCGACATAGAAGGACATCAATTTGACTGGGACAAAGTTACAGTACTAGGACAAGCGAGACAAATACAAGCACGAGAATTCCTGGAGGCCTGGTTTTCAACCACCGATGCAATTAACAAACATGTTGAAATAGACCCCATCTCTCTACCAGTACGGTACAAAACCGGAAACAAGACTATCCACCATGACAGACTGGGCCATATAAACTCAGAGCGGGACAGAACAACGGTGCTTCAGTGGAGGCTACACAGCACTGACAATGTCACCTAGAAAAGGAGACTAAACATCTGCATGAAAATCAGTCAACTGGCAAGCCAACAAACAATCCAAAATACCTAATATTTTTTAAATGCACTGTTATTAAAAGTAAACATCTAACTGCAATATAAGTGAGGAAATGCAAAGGGACTTTATTGGTAAAAAATAAAGTTAAATAGGCAAGATAAAATTAATTCTCTGGGATTCTATCAAAGTATAGTTTAATTTCAGTGAAAAGTGAGTGTAATATCAGAATATAAAATGGACTCTTTTTTAATTCTGTTTTTCTCATTGTTTTAAAGAACCACTGCCTGTATTTACTGGGAGTTAAAATTTGTATTTGGCAATGGAACTGCTGTCAGCATGTCTCTCCAAGTTGGTGTTAATATTTGTGTCGCGGCTTATACATGTTTTTTCAAACCACAAATAAGAAACGTTTTTTTGTTAACAAGTGATTTTCCATATCCTTGCAGTACCTGTAATTTTGAAGAATCGCTCCTGATGCCAAATCTCTCTCAGCGTCCATCCGCAGGAAAGTTACTGCCTCAATCTCTAGAAACTACTGGAGATATGTTCAAAATATCTCAATTATTGTAAACAGGAAGTATATTTCTATCTGTCTTTTACTGAAGAAAAAGTATTTATGGGCACTCACTGTAATGAATGCCTGCCTGGAACAGGGGATCAATACATTATAAAGCTGCTGTCTACAAGAAGGAACTCTGTTGCATTTTCGGTGCATTGTTTTTTTTTCCCTTCTCTATTACTGGCTACCTAAGTACAGTGTGAACAGTTTTCCCTCCAGTTTACTGTGAGGGACACAGGTTCACATTTGGAGCATGGTTCCACTGATATGGCAGCCCACCCCCGCCCGCCCAAACAGAAATCTAATCAGTGAGTAAGTATTGTTACATTGCAATTAAGCCAAATCCTGTACCCCCACCCCGCCACGCAAAGCTGAGCATGTATGTGGTTCTTCCAGTAGGATCACTAGATAAGGATCATAAGTGGGAATTTTGGCTAGTTCTCCCCATCCCTCCCCATTCCAGTAGGGCCTAAGGCTAATTGTTCTGCCCAGTCTTCTTTCGTGGCTAACTTTGTGTAATGCTGGATTAAACCTTGCAGTTTCTGTGGCTTTTGTGGTTCAGTGCTGAACCTGGTGGCAAAGTAGTCCAATAAACTATTAGATAAGCAGATGAAGTATAGTTTGAGGTAAAGGAAGATTAAGCAGATTCTACACTTAAGTAAGGGTCACTGGTTTTTTGAACAGGACCCTATCTCTATGCAGGATCTATTCAGTCATGCATTATAGTAAGAGATTATATGGACTAGTTTATAATAAATTATGTGAAACCTTTTTCTGACTGTCAAGCTGTTTTACGTTGAGTACTGTTTTATTCTGGTATATTATTTGAAACCCTTCTTTATGCTTAAAAATTTTCAAAATTCTTTTGGTTTTAAAAAAAACTGTTTAAGATAACAAAAACCTGAGACATCATCCAGAGTGTCACTTGTAATTCGCTGACTTGATTCACCTTGGGGGAGTAGGGGATTTTTTTTTTGTTTTGCTTTTGACGTTGGGAGGGAAATTAACTAATATTCTTTCAAAAGATCGTACCATTGATCACCTACCATGTGACTACATCTGTGAAAAGTTACCTTTTTCAGATCTTAAAACCTTGTGTTATAGATGTGTTCTGGATTTGCTGTGCTGTTTTTAAATTTTAATGTTTGAAAATAGCTAGTTCAATTTTGACATTGATGTTGGTGATCTAAAATATTTGCAGTTAAGCAGAACTCTGGTGTCCCCTTGCTCTGGAAGGTATGGCTGGAAACATAATCATGACTGAGAAATAATCTAGCTAGACTTGCTGCCATGTATTGTGCAACGGGACCTAAAATTAAGGAGCATAGCTAATATCATGCTCATTTAAGCTGCTGTTTTAAAAACACAAAATTCTTCAATTCTTACTTGATTTGCTATAGTTGTCTGTTCAAAGTGCACGCAGAGTAGCAAGTAAACAGCACATTCAGACCCTGAACCAGCTGTCTGATGATCACTGTACAATTTACTTCTTTACATGCTATTTTGATTTCAAAACAATGGTTTTCCATAACTCGGACTTGATACGAATAGAGTTTTCTTCATTTAATTACAAAACCTGTTGGTTAGACTTTTTTAGTGCAGATGAATTGGCAGCACAGACTACGCTGCATTAATTTCTAAGTTGAACCAATTACGTTGAAGCATTGCAGGTTTTGAAATGTGGGTCAAAAGAAGCATACAGATTTGGAGAACAGGGAAGAGTTTTACAAGTGTACAACCAAGAAAATCAAGTACTCTGGAAAGTAGCCAAGTAAAATACAAGTTGTGAAACAGTGGACTTTTTCATTGAATGCTTACAAATGTAATTTTTCATTGAGGGGTTGGTTTGTGTGGTAAAACAGATTCCAAAAAGGCACAATTGGAGAAATTAATTCTATACTTTGTTTCCAATGCACTTTTAATAACTTTACCTGTTACAAGCGTTGAACAAAAGATGATAGTCACTAGTGTCATTTCGGGGCAGTTGAAAGGAAATAAGGTTGCAGTTGTTTAAACTTACTACCATTATGATGTGAGATTTTTGTGTGACTACTGTATACAACAAAATAATATAGTCCTTAGCAAAAGAGCGTACAGCAATCAATCCGGCACGCAATCACTTAAACTCCCCTAAGCAGTAAAGGAGGGTCTTCTTGACATTGAAAGCCAAACTTCATGATAGCATTGGCGCAGTCAGGAATTGCGGAAGTGATGCTTTTCTTAATAATATTGTATACACTTTTGTATACAGTATCTTTTTGTATCTTTTGTATACAGTAATTGGTTAAAGTGTTATTGTTAACCTGCAAAAATCATTACATTTTGGCAATGCAGGTGAGACAACTGCCAATCAATTTCACAGGAAGTAATGCTTCCCACAGACTGCACTATGAATGCTTCTTGCTAGGCAAGAGACTCCCAATATACAGCCAAGGTGGCTGATAGCAGTGTTAAAGGCTCTTTTCATGGGCCCAGGTTTCTGTCTTTTGCCAATCCACTTCTTGCGAAATATACCTAACTTTTGTTGACTGCTTTCAAGGGAACCCATAGACGAGTGGCTCAGTGGTTAGCACTGCAGCCTCACAGCGCCAGGGACTTGGATTCAGTTCCAGCCTCGGGTGGAGTTTGTACATGCTCCCCATGTGTGCATCGGTTTACTCTAGGTGCTCCGGTTCCCTCCTACAATCCAAAGATGTGCAGGTTAAGTGGATTGACCATGCTAAATTGCCCTGTAGTATACAAGGATGTGTAGGTTGGGTGGGTTAGCCATAGAAAATGCAGGGTTACGGGGATAGGGTGGGTCTGGGTGGGATGCTGTTTTTTGGGTCAGTGTATATTTGATTGGCTGAATGGCCTGCTTGCTCAATGTAGGGATTATATGAATTGAATGACTCAGTATTGCCATCTTGAGATAACTGTACTGACGTATTTAATGGTCAGCACCAAAAGTGGTCAGTACAGTCAGCCTGGGCTGATCACAAGTACTGGTAAATTGTAATCCTCAATGTAACTGAAGCTTTGGCATTTACCAACATCTGCATTGACTATAGTAGTGCAGACATCAAATATGATCAGGAAATGTCTCTTACCAAAGTAGATAAGACATCCAAATGAGTGGAAAATGTCATCCTGTTAAATGTGGAAATGTTTTATTGTTCTGTATGAACATTTGATCCACGACACCTGTCCTGGGATACAAAGATTTATTCCCATGAAATGTGTTTAGAGCAGATGTAAATCCTGCACATGACCAGTACATTAAGTAGACAGAATAATAAGCTGATAACTCTGGCTTCTAAAATAATTAATGTATGCATTTTAATAATTGTGAAAGAGAAACTACAGCTTATTGCTGTGCTAAAATATGCAAAACAAATATTTTCTTTAAAATAACATTTTCCTTTTGTAATTTCATAATTACACCGAAAATGCATTTCTGGTCAATGATGTATCTTTAGCAGAAATTTATTGTTTTGGTCTGTGTGTAAATGCTTTGTGAATGGTGACATTTAATAAAGCAGGAGAAACAGTGCACCTAAGTAATTTATTTCTATTAGTCATATTCATTTGATCAAGCTTTAGAAGGTTGTATAGGAGCATCTTATAAAACTTAAACATACGCAGAAAATGGTGGAGAAACTCAGCAGGTCTGGCAGCATCTGTAGGAAGTAAAACAGAGTTAATGTTTCGAGTCCAGTCTGACTCCACTTCTATGCTGAAGCAGTCAAACTAGTCTTGAAACATTAACTCTTTCTGTCTCCACAGATGCTACCAGAGCTGCTGAATGTTCCTAGCACTTCTTGTGTTTAATTCAGATTTCCAATATTTGCAGCATTTTCCTTTTGTTATAAAACTTTAGTGTTTATACAGTTTTTTTTTTTCTCTGTTCTTCCCCACAGTCATAGATTGATGGTCTGCAGATCTGTTCAAGTCCTGTTGAGATCACCTAGAGAAAATCCAAATTGAAATGGGTTTTATTCATAACCATTACCAAGGTTAACTTCTTTCTCACATTGCAGTTTAATGTGTACCCATTATTGTCCATTAAAATTATCCATATGCTGTGGAAATCTAACCATGGTTACTTTTACCCCTTTGTGCAATATTTGAATCTTCATTTTCTTTGCAATGTACCTGCAAAATGTCTACAACTGTATGTTTGTACAGCCTTCTCCCTCTCTCCCATTAGTGTCCGTGGACCCCCAACAGCATGGATCTGTTCACTGTCATACTTGCAGGAGTTTGCCAGTACCATTTTTGTACATGAGTTGGCTTGGATGGTTTTTTTATACACTATTTTTCCTCACCCTGTTGTAAACCCTTAACTTTTGTCCATCGCCATGGGCAACTGGTTGCTTATAAAATCTGTCGTGCAGGCTTTTGAATTACCAGCGTGACATTTAAAGGTGAAAGATTTTATTTAGTATTTTTCCCTCTGTTAATTAGTTTCACACAAGCAGAATGGGCTTCTGCCCCTACATCTTCACTCGCCAATCCAGGCAGATCTGCGAGACAGGAAGATACGTGTGGCATCAGAGAAGGATTCAACGGCCACACAAAACCTGCACTCTGATGTGAACGCTCCTTCTGTAGCCCCCAGTGATGTGGTGTAAAGTGTAAAAACACCAAGATCTTTCTAAAGATTCTAAAAATACTTGTATATTTAAGGAACTTGACTTGTTGACTTTTATGTTGTGACTATGTTTTAGTGCAATTGTATTTTTTATTCATCATTGCATTGTGCAGACCACCTTAACTTATTATGTATATGTATGGGTGAATGCAAGGACAATTTGACAATATTCCCTAAACTGAGGGAAACTACTGAGTATAGACTTAAAATAAAATATTACATCTTTTCATTGCTTGATTTCTTTTAATTGTTACAAGATAATATAATTTGAATTTTTTGATTCTTTTGAAAGTTGTATTGATATTTATGAAAATAAAAGGTTAACGATCTCCAAATCCTATTATTTTTTTAAACTTGTGCATATTTATTCTGTAAGATTAGAAAACATATCTCCCAAGCTAAATGGTCTATCAGGTTGTTTCCTCTTTTATATTAAGATAAAATTCCAGTAGATCAATTCTTCAAAATAACTGATTCCCATTCAGTATTGTCATCTGGTTGTTCTAGTCCTCTGATTAATGGAGAACAAATTGCTTCATCTTTTTCAAGCTAATTTTTTTTAAATTATGAAATTGAAAATTCTTAGGTCCCAAAACTTGTGTGCAATCTGCCCAACATATCATGTACTTTGTCTAATTCATTTAATCGACAGTTAAATAAAAGCTAACAAGTTAAAATGCAAGAAGATTTTACCCTAATCTTTTGTAATTGTAGAGAAAGGATTTGAAATTGTCATTCCAGCTTTAAAATTTATTATTCTGACCTGAAAAGTATATTTTCCAAATTGGCATTTCTATGCTGTTATCAACATTGAAGCTATTTTAGTCCATTATTCTTTTGATTTATCAATATGTAGTTTGAATTCCTTATTTATTACACTTAACTACTCATCAATTGGCATTTTTTTTAAAATTTAGTCAATTTATAAAGCATTTGGTGATTTTAAATTTTTAGCAAAGATCTGTGGGTCAGGTTGTTGACTTGCTCGCCGAGCTGGCTTATTCTCGTTCAGATGTTTCATCACCATGCTAGGTGACATCATCAGTGGAGCCTCCGATGAAGCGATGTTATTCTACTCCGCTTGGAATTTATACTGTGCGGTCTGTTATGGTGAGTAGTGTCATTTCCGGTTTTGATCTGTATGGGTTTGTATATGCGGTCCAATTGTATTTGTTTGTTGATTGCATTATGGGTGGAGAACATCAACTAGCAGCAAAACGGCATGACGTACTCTCCTTAATATCACTCGGACAATGAAGGTCATTAGTTTAACTGGGACAAGGTAACCATAGTAGCCCAAGACAAACATAGACATGCACGGGAATTCCTAGAGGCATGGTTCTCCACCCGTAATGCAATCAACAAACGCATTGTATTTGGGGTCCGATTCTAACTCGTACAGATCAAAACCGGAAATGACACTACTCGCTATAAATAGATAGCCCCACAACTTCATCTGCAGATGCCTACTAAACAGGTAACAACAGGAGGACACAGTCCACCGTAACACACTGGCCACGCTGCCATACATCAAGAACATATTGGAACTGACAAGACTCCTAAGACCACGAAGAATCGTAGTGGTCTGCAAGCCCACAGCCACTCTAGAACAAACACAAGGATTGAAGACCCCATTCCCACAACTTGCAGAACCAACATTGTTTTCAAAATACCATGCAACGAGGCCACAAACATTACATCGGACAGACAGGAAGGAAACTGGACATCAAAATACATGAACTTCAACTACTCACCACAACGGACCAAACAGTATAAATTCCAAGCGGAGTAGAATAACATCGCTTCGTCAGAGGCTCCACTGATGATGTCACCTAGCATGGTGACAAATCATCTGAACGAGAACAAGCCAGCTCGGTGAGCAAATCAACAACTTCATTTGGTGATTTTGCTGGAGGTCCGTGATCTTTGTTTTAGTGTGGGGAACCAAATGCTTTATCCAGTCGTATAAATTATTGTTTACCCCTCCTCTCCCTGCATCTTCAGCATATGTGCCAATCTCTTCCTAGCTACATCAGCTCTTGAGAAGAGTCACTCGATCAGAAACATTAACTCTTGACTTCTCTTCACTGATGCTGCCAGACCTGCTGAGTTTGTCCTGCAACTTCTGTTTTTGTTTTAAGTTTTGTTCTTTGGAAACAAACACCTAATTAGCATTGAAGCTATATTGATTCAGGCTTGAACCTGCTTCAGTGTACAACACCTAAGATTAATTGTAGCAGACATCATAATCTAAATTTAATCATGTTGTTTAGGATTTATTTTTTTCAATCAAGAAGATGATGTGTGATTGCTTAGCAGATGAAGTTACCACCTCTGGTTGTACATACTCCTGGAGGTTTTATACATACCCTCCCACCTCCAGTCACACCACGGAGTCAAACTGTCATCTATCCATCTCAAATTTTTTTTTAAAACCAGTAACCAAAATGCCCAAAGTAGTAAAAATACTCCAATTATTCTTTAACTGAGTTGTTTTCAGAAGTGTCTAAGGTGTTAATTTTAAGTTTCTGCACATTTTGAGTACAATCCTGGAAGGGTAGCAATCCTGCTGGTAGAGAATACTTTCAAATAAATTGTCTGTATTAATAATCAGATTAAGTTTATTAATAAATTAAAATATAGAATAGCTCTTATTTTCAAGAGTTGCTATGTACTGATGAATTGGATAAAATGGGAGCAGGAATTGATCCAAAGTATAGACAAGGTAGGTGCATTCATTTTTAAATCATACAATCCCTTATGATATATTTGTAATTAGTGTGAAATAAGATTTGCATAATTGTTACACCAAATCCATGGATCACACTATTTTCATACTGAAGCATTTGAACCATCTTGCTTCTGAAAAATAGAATAAACCTCTCCTGATGTTTTTTATATATGTGAAAACTGAACTTTCCACAGCAGATTTTTTTTTAAAACTTGATCTAAACAAATTGGCCTACTGCTTAGATTGTTAAAGTAACCAGACACTGAAGAGAAATGCACAATTTTATGGGATTGTGCTGTTGTAAAGAGACAGAGATACTGTTTTGGCTATATAGTGATTTGGGTAGTCCCTAGGTTACTACACCTAAAACTACTATTTCCAGCATGGAGTTGAGAAAAATGATTGTGGTGTGAAGGCTTAGTGTATTGTACTAATCCATGTTGACATTGCATTGCAGCACTACCCTGTCAAAAGGACCAACTTTCATACTAAGACTCGTCTGTTTTTACAAGTGAACATAAAATTCTCATAGTGCTAGCTCACAGACCAGATGAATACTGCATTGTGTTATGGCCAATATTTGTCCCTGATTATCAGGTCGTTAATCTCATTACTGCTAGTGCAATCTCTCAGTGCACCAATTATCTGAAGCCTGTTAAATCTTACCAATTTTTCCCAGTTTGGATTCTTCCATTCAGGTTTCCACTTCAGCCATCATAGCAAACAGCTAGGAGGATGTCTCCAGTGACTAGAGAAACCCCACCAGTGGCATTTCCTGCCACTCCTGTGTTCCTATCTCTGGTGCCCCCAAAGAATCCATCAATAGCCTCTTCCCAGTTCTCGCTTGCGTGCTGTCCTTGAGAATGTGAAGATTGCTGCTGCCAGACCTGGTGAGTTTTTCGAACAATTTCTGTTTTTATTAGCTCGATATACTATGTTTTGGATTTCTAACTGTCCTAGCATTAGCCTCCTGCTTCTGGGTTTCCTGGGTCATGATAGTATGAAATGTGGCCTATCGATTTTTGACTACCATCATCTGAATCTGATATCAAGAACTTACATGGCCTGAAGAAGTTTTAAAAAGGAAAGGCACGGACGTTTTTAAAAAAAAAACCTGACCACTGGTTGAGCCAAACTTCAGGAAAGTAATGTGAAATAAACTGAATTGGTTCAAAAGTTAGCACATTTCTCAAAAGAGATTGAAAGCAGAAGAAACTGTCATCTCCTATTTTAAATTTACACATGTATGATACATTACACATCAGAGATTAAAAAAAAATCTGTATAACAATGCAGCTTAGAAACTAAGGCCCCAGACACTAGAGTACACAAATGAGCTGCATTTCAAAGCAGTTTCAGAGATAGTAGGAACTGCAGAAGGTTAAAATTGTGCCACAATGATGCCACCCAAGGGTTGCAGGAACAGCACCTCGTATTCCGCTTGGGAACCCTGCAGCCTAATGGTATCAATGTGGACTTCATAAGCTTCAAAATCTCCCCTTCCCCTCCCACATCCCAAAACCAGCCCAGCTTGTCCCCGCCTCCCTAACCTGTCCTTCCTCCCACCTATCCCCACCCCCACCTCCTACCTACTAACCTCATCCCGCCCCCTTGACAGGTCAGTCCAGGGAGGACGGACAGATCTCCTCCCTATCTCCCCACCTACACTCACCTTTATTGGCTCCATCCCCGCCTCTTTGACCTGTCTGTCTCCTCGCCACCTATCTTCTCCTCTATCCAGCTTCTATCCACCTCCCCCTCTCTCCCTATTTATTTCAGAACCCCAAACCCCTCCCCCATTTCTGAATAAGGGTCTAGGCCCGAAACGTCAGCCTTTCTGCTCCTCTGATGCTGCTTGACCTGCTGTGTTCATCCAGCTCTACACCTTGTTATCTCTGCATTTCAAAGCAACTGTTTTGTCGCAGCAATGGTGAATGATACGTAAGTGAATCAGGGGGTAAGATCTTGCGCTTCTCTCTCTCTGGTTCTGTCTCTTTGTGTCTGTCTGTCTGTCAGTCAGTCAAAGTTCAAAGCACTCACTGTCAACACTAACCACAGCAACATCGGAACAATGAGAACTCAAAGCCTGGTGTTACTACACAATAAGTCCAAATGATTTTTATCTCAAAGCTGTTTTTCTGCTTCGGATATACTGCCCAAGCTTTGAACTTTAATCTACTCGAATTGTTCGGCAAATGACTGTGCATCAGTACCTTTCTTAGGATGGTTTATCACCTATACCTCTTCCTGTTCTGCTTTCTTGCCCGTTCAATCTATTATACTGTTACATAAGAGCGAACACATTCATTTTGATGCTGTTAAGTTATAACAAATTACCTCCAATAAGATGTTGGCAGTATTAACATAGTGAAAGACTGCCTCATGTCTTGCCCAGTACTCACCTAATTTAAACACTCTCTTCCTTTCTACCGCAGTTAACCCAACATGATTGAAATAACACATTGTTAACACGATATTTAAAATACAGTTGGGTACAATCAGCCTGTTCTGCAGAACAAGTGCCTGTACTTTGATAGTCTGATGAATCTTTTAAAATAAAATTTTCCGGCTAAAAGATCGCTTGCTTCTCTTTTTATCATGTATAAAGTGGTTTTGGTTAATTATTTCTGGAAACTATTACATTAATACTTTACCATTGTGCTAGACATATATAGGCATAATTATTGACACAGACTCCAGTGCATAATCCGGTCGTACTTCAGCACAGAACTGAGGGAATGGTGGACTGCTAAAGATGGTTGTATTACAGATAAGAAGATAAACCACGGCCAACCATGTCACATTTGGTCAAATGCAGCCTTGATGGCGAGGGCTGTCACTCTCACTTCACCTGAACGTGGCTGCAAATGATTCCACAGCACTGTGTGAGGAGGAACAGAGAAACTCTCCCGAAGTCCTAGGCAATATTTATTGCTCTGCATTGATTAAAAACGAGTTAACAGTTCGTGTATCTCATTGCTGCTGGTGAGGTCTTGCTGTGTGCAAATTGGCTCCTGTGATTCCTGCTGCCAGTACTTCACATTTACTTAATTAGTTGTAAATTGCATTTGGGTGTCCTGAGGTGGTGAAAGGCACAAATTCTTTCTTTGACCATCATAAAGCAACTGTGATCTATTTAGCTATATCAACTAAGTACAATGCTTATTACTTGAAAGTATTCCACATCTACTTTCTGTTGGTTCACAGTAATAAATAGTACTTTCAATGATGAGGTCGTAGCCTTAAATTTATGGCCAGGCAATTCAGTAATGATATGAGCCATATCTTCAGACACAGGATAATCAAAATCTGGAACTCACATTGCCAAAAGATTGGATGCTGAGATAATTGAAACTCTCCAAGTACATCAATTTGTTTTTAAAATATAGTTGTAAAGGGAAAACATAGGTAAATTGAGGCATAGGTTGGTCATGATTTAATTGAACGACAGAATAGTAGGGAGTATGTCATTTATTAACAGCATATGTCAATATCATAGTATAGTGATTCTGAAATTTGAATCCCCACCAAGTCAAAGAAAAATGTTGTTTCAATATTTTAAATGAAAGTTTATCCAGTGGAGCAGCTGGTGAAAGGAGTTGGGCCATGCAACACTGAAAATAAGTCCCAAATTTGACCCCCACTCTAACATTGGCTCATTTAACTTTGTTGAGGTAAGTCATGCTGTGCTTTTCTTGATGTCCATAGAGTAAGGATACGTTGACTCTTGGGCTCCGTTTGCAATATGCTTTTCAGAATCTGTATCGTAAGTGTTTGTGTGTGCATGACAGTTTATGAATGCTGGGTGGGGGGAGAGGTAGGTAGTTACAATTGAACAAACCTGGCTGTGGTACCTCACAGGAGAGGAACTTGGTGAGTTGACTTAAGAAAAGCTACTCGGGCATGGTATTGAGAGCAACTTGCAACCTTGGAATTCCATGATTAGCAAATACTCAATACCTTCAAGAAAAGGCAGAAGACAATGAGATGATAAATGAGGAATTCAAAAACAGATTTAAATTAAATACAACTTAAATGTTAAAAAAATGGGGGTTTGTGTTTTTGCGATTAATAAACTACTATTGGATTGATTTCCATAGCTTGCTCGCCCTTTTAAGTTGATCATTTTAATCATCGATGCCCTCTGTGTTGACTCAATGTATTTTAAAACTTCTTTTTCCTGCCAGGTAATTTTTCAATTTATTCCTATTCTAGCAACTGTTTCTTTCTATCTCCATTCAGCAAACGATACTCTCTGCCTCTTATTTCATTTAAACTAGGTATGCATGGATTAGCCATTTCAAAAATGAGTGCTAAGTGCTAACTGTTATTTAGTTTTAAGAAACCCTATCTCAAATCTCACTTAAAACTTATTAGTTTTGCAATCACGTGGATAACGTAGTTGAGCGAGTTATTTCAAGACCCTCGTATTTGTAGTCATGAATCACAGTCCTTCTGAATCATCTTTTACCCAAAGGAATTAATAGCAGTAACTTGCTTTGAGAAACAAGCTGTGAGCTTGCTGCTGTTTTACTTTGAATTAATATCCCTTTGAAGTTAGGATGCCCCGATTTTGCATCCAATGTTTTAGGTGAAATCTTACCAGTGAATTGTACGTGGTGAACACATTTCAACTGCTAGTTAGAAAGTTTCCCAATACTTGCTCACGTTCATAATAGACTTATAGGTGACAGTTGTGATATTGTGGGCTTTGTAATTCCTCATCCTTTTATAATATCACAATGAAAGCCAAAAACAGGATAGGGACAAAATGGTCAATGTTCTTACCACTTTGCTTTAGCTGTGGCTAGAGTGATATGTGTATTACATAATGTGAATAAGTTTAGCATTTTATTTGAGTAAGAGCCTTAAAAATCATGCGCACATTTAGAATTACTCTGCTGCTTATCCATTAATACTGTACATAAAGAAGCAGGTGCTTTAATAAGAAGTGAGCCACTATATAACAGGAATACTGGCAACATGATAGATGGATGCTCTTTTAAAAACTGGTAGCATTCTTTTGGTTATAATCATGTTGCTGTTTAAATAAAGCCATTAAAATAACAGCACAACTGTGCAGCAAAAACCCGACATTGCATTATAATTACCTTACAAGTCTGGGTCTTAACATGTTTTTACCCACTGCTGTTTTGGCTTCTGTTTTAAGGCAAGGTATTGCAGTTATTCAGCTGGAAGTTAGTTTGCAAACAAGCTGATTACTTACAGGGGTACAGCGGCAGCCTGGTATGAACTTTTGGGGCTTGTTTCACAAGAGGTCAGTACTGCAAACTTCATTTTCCACAACATCAGTCACTATAAGTTCTGTATGAAAACAGATTCTCTTTAAACATTGAGTGATTAGTGTTTTTCTTTTTCTGTGCTTCCTTTCTATTGCTAGAGGCCATTTGGTGAAACGCTCAGGAGAACATATATACACACACACACATTTGTGTCAAAAACGTGGCTGGTAAGCATTTCATATAATATCAAACCACATTGTAACAGTACATGTACCGTAATTATAGCAAAACTATCCTCAAACATTTGCAAACACTTTTAGACTGTTTACAAGGCATTTACAATGTCTGGGAAAAAGGAAAATGTTCTGCAGCTCCAGTTTCTACTAGCATTTTTGAGTCAAAATAACTTCTGCTTGAGCACTGCATATGACAGCGAACATCAGAGCATCTTGAGACAGCTGTTGGTATCGTGATTAAAAACAAACTGCCATCATTAAAGTTGTCACAATCCGAATTCATTTCATTACACAATTCTATTTTGAACCACCTCATTTCTTTGATCAAGTTGAGGCATAAAATAATCATTAATTACAGACAGATTTATGAATATCTGCAGGCACAAGTCCTGTTTGCTGGAAAATCCGAAGGGGCTACTCATGTGTACTGGAATAGCTGCAGGGATTATCTTCTTCACTGAAGTCATTTCACAATTGCAGCTCTTAATTTATTTGAGCTCCATCAAATCATCCTTGATTTACTGTATCATATTACACCAAAGTCAGAACTGGTTCATTATATCGCTTTGAATCATAAAATCTCTATTTCTGACCCATTTGCTCATTGCCAGAAATTTATATCAAAAATAAATCACTTAGCCACGTAAACGGTTTGTCTTATTTTAACGAAAAATTTTCAATAATTAGTCTGGAAATGTTCAATAACTCCAATGTACATCAGATGAAGATGTTTAATTCTTTAGAAGATGGAAACGTTTCACAATCATTAAGCCAGAAATTTCAGCATTTATGACTGAATAAATGATAAATAACTGATGAGCTAAAATCTTATTGAGTGGCAGAGCAGGTATGAGGAGCTGAATGGTCTACCTCTACTCCTATTCCAAATATTCTGAATGTGCATCTCAAAACCATAAATCAAATATACCCCTTACAAATCATAACAGTCATCAAAGATCATTAATTCAAACAATATGTCGTGCCTCAAGGAAATAAGCACAGAGGGAACTGCAGAATGGTAGGGATATGCACCACCAACAGTGAGAGACACACTGATAAGAGGAAGAGAGCAAGGTGCATTCTAATAGTGAGACAGACAGATAAACATTTAAACACCAGCCCATAATAAGTTTTACATCAGAGAGATAGATGTTAAATTCCTGACAGTTGGTGAAGAAGTACAGGTAGTTTTGCTATAACACATGTTTCGTTAACACGAATTGGCTGTAACGTGATTGATGAATAGTGGACACTGTGGATAACGCAAACTTTCTGCTGTACAGGTATAGCGATTTCCCTATAACGTGATTTTCTATTGCCCAAGGTCACAAGAACACAACTGTTGTGTTATAGGAGAACCACCTGTACTCAGTTTTTGATTAATTAAGTGGAATATTCCAAGTGAATATTTCCTAACTCTTATACCGTTATCATTAAGTATCTCTTTATATCTGCTCAAGTAATAGTCCAATCAACTGCATCCAACTACACTCAAAAAGTTTGGTTCCATCCAGCACAAAACAGCCTGCTTGAATGGCACTGCATCAACAAACAATTATTTCCTCCACCACTGACGTTCAGCACCACTGACGTTCAGAGACTATCTACAAGACAAACTGTAGAAATGCACCACGGCTTTTTAGACAGCACTTTCCAAATTCACACCTACTACCAGCTAGGAGGTCAACAGCAGCAGGTACATGGGAGCACCACCACCTGAAAGTTCCCTGCCATCCTGACTTGGAAATATATAGGAGAGGTGCTAAATGAATATTTTTCGTCAGTATTCACGCAGGAAAAAGACAATGTAGTTGAGGAGAATACTGAGACACAGGCTATTAGACTGGACGGGATTAAGGTTCATAAGGAGGAGGTGTTAGCAATTCTGGAAGGTGTGAAAATAGATAAGTCCCCTGGGCCGGATGGGATTTATCCTAGGATTCTCTGGGAAGCTAGAGAGGAGATTGCAGAGCCTTTGGCTTTGATCTTTATGTCGTCATTGTCTTCAAGAATAGTGCCAGAAGACTGGAGACTAGCAAATGTTGTCCCCTTGTTCAAGAAGGGGAGTAGAGACAACCCTGGTAATTATAGACCAGTGAGCCTTACTTCGGTTGTGGGTAAAGTGTTGGAAAGGATTATAAGAGATAGGATTATAATCATCTAGAAAGGAATAATTTGATTAGGGATAGTCAACACGGTTTTGTGAAGGGTAGGTCGTGCCTCACAAACCTTATTGAGTTCTTCGAGAAGGTGACCAAACAGGTGGATGAGGGTAAAGCGGTTGATGTGGTGTATTTGGATTTCAGTAAAGCGTTTGATAAGGTTCCCCATGGTAGGCTATTGCAGAAAATACGGAAGCATGGGATCGAGGGTGATTTAGCGGTTTGGATCAGAAATTGGCTAGCTGTAAGAAGACAGAGGGTGGTGGTTGATGGGAAATGTTCATCCTGGAGTTCAGTTACTAGTGGTATACCTCAAGGATCTGTTTTGGGGCCACTGCTGTTTGTCATTTTTATAAATGACCTGGATGAGGGCGTAGAAGGATGGGTTAGTAAATTTGCGGATGACACCAAAGTTGGTGGAGTTGTGGATAGTGCAGAAAGATGTTGTAGGTTACAGAGGGACATAAATAAGCTGCAGAGCTGGGCTGAGAGGTGGCAAATGGAGTTTAATGCGGAAAAGTGTGAGGTGATTCACTTTGGAAGGAGTAACAGGAATACAGAGTACTGGGCTAATGGTAAGATTCTTGGTAGTGTGGATGAGCAGAAAGATCTCGGTGTCCATGTGCATAGATCACTGAAAGTTGCCACCCAGGTTGATAGCGTTGTTAAGAAGGTGTACAGTATGTTAGGTTTTATTGGTAGAGGGATTGAGTTTCGGAGCCATGAGGTCATGTGGCAGCTGTACAAAACTCTGGTCCGGCCGCACTTGGAGTATTGCGTACAGTTCTGGTCACCGCATTATAGGAAGGATGTGGAAGCATTGGAAAGGGTGCAGAGGAGATTTACCAGGATGTTGCCTGGTATGGAGGGAAGGTCTTATGAGGAAAGACTGAGGGACTTGAGGCTGTTTTCGTTGGAGAGAAGAAGGTTAAGAGGTGACTTGACAGAGACATACAAGATCATCAGAGGATTAGATCGGGTGGATAGTGGGAGCCTTTTTCCTCGGATGGTGATGGCTAGCACGAGGGGACATAGCTTTAAATTGAGGGGTGATAGATATAGGACAGATGTCAGAGGTAGGTTCTTTACTCAGAGAGTAGTAAGGGCGTGGAATGCCCTGCCTGCAAAAATAGTAGACTCGCCCACTTTAAGGGCATTTAAATGGTCATTGGATAAACATATGGATGATAATGGAATAGTTTAGGTTAGATGGGCTTCAGATTGGTTTCACAGGTCGGCGCAACATCGAGGGCCGAAGGGCCTGTACTGCGCTGTAATGTTCTATGTTCTATGTTCTATTCCTTCAGCGTTGGGTGAAAATCCTGGAATGTCCCCCCCCCCCCACTGCATTGTGGGCCTACCTACAGCACAGGGACTGCAACAGTTCAAGAAGGCAGCTCTCGAAGACAACTAGGCACGGGCAATAAATGCCAGCCCAGCCAGTTATGCCTGCATCCTATGAATGAATAAAAGAAAATGCCCTTCACATATATGTACTTAATCATAATGTATACAGTTAACAATAAATGCTGACTTAAGGAGCATGTTGGAGAGCTACTCAGTAATGGAGGATTTAAGATAGATCAGCACAACAATAGGAACCCAACACGAAATTCAGATTGGTAGGAAGCAAAACTGGTAACAGCAAGTAGAGTCATACAGCACAGAAACAGACCCTTCAGTCTAACTCATCCATGCTGACCAATTTTCCCAAATGAAACTAAACTAATCTCATTTGCCTCCCTTTGGCCCATATCCCTCTAGGCCTTTCCTATTCATATATCTGTCCAAATGTCTCTTGTAGTCAGCAAAATTAGAAGAAAGATGAAGGAAAGGTAAGCATATAATACAATTAGAATGCACAATAGTATTTAAAAAAGCAGAATGGAAGACATTCCATCCGAATGCAAATTACACTCAAACATGTTGATGATTTGAAGGCACAAATTGAGGTAAATGGTTATGATTTACAGAGATGTTACAGAGATGTGATGACAGGGCAACCAAAATTGCGAGCTGGCTTCCAAAGATATAATTGAGAATGGATAGGCAAAAGGTAAAAGTAAGTGGGGTTAATAATGGACATGATCAGTACCTTAATGAGAGATGACCTTAGATTGAAGGATCAAGATCTAGAATCAGTTAAGGTGAAGGTAAGAAACAGCATAGAGTAGCAAAGGTTGGTGAGAGCTATTTACAGGTTACCAGACAGTAGTAGTAATGTTGAGCATGGTATAAATGAAGGAACTTAGAGATGTATTTAAGTGAATAATATAGTAATAATGGACAACTTCGGAATATACTGGGCAAACCTAATCCAGACTAATGCTATAGAGGATTAATACCTTGAGTAAGCATGAGATGGGTTTTAGAACAACATATTGAAGAACCAACAAGGGGTGAGGCTATTTTAAATTTATTATCATGTAACAAGAAAGAGTTAATTAATAACTTTGTTGTATATGAGTCTTTATGAAATAGTGGCCATAATAGATTAGAATTTCACATTAAGTTTCATTGTGAAACCTACATCTTAAATCTGAACAAATGAAACCATTGAAGGTTTCTTTTCCATGAAGTCGAGTTGGTCAAGTGGATTTTGAAAATGCACCAAAAATATTGATGATAGATGGGCAATGGCTAGTATTTAGAGAAATATTGCACGATCTACAACAGATATGCATTCCTCAAAAACACAAACACTCAAAGGGAAAAAGGAATTAAGTGTAGTTAATAAAAGAAGTTAAAGATTGAAATAGACCAAAGGAAGTGGCCTATCAAAATGCCAGAAAAAGAAGCAAGACTGAGGATTGGGAATAATTTTGAATCTAGAAAATGAAGACTGAGACAGATAAAGTTAAGTAAAAGCTTATATGAATCAATGCATGCTAGCAAGAAACATTAAGGCAAGGTGCCAAAGCTTTTATAGATGTGTGGAGAGGAAAAAATTAGTTAGTACTAATGTGGCCTATTATAGGATAATTTACAGTGGGGAACAAGAGAAAAAGGAATAAGTTTGAATCTGTCTTCACAGGAAAACAACACAGAAAACCTCCCTGAAATACCAAGTGACAAAGAGACTTGTGAAACAGAGGAACTGAAAGGGAGTAGCATTAGTGCAGAAATAGTACATAAAAAGTGGATTGAATCCTGATAAACCCCCTGGATCAGATGAACTACATCCCAAAGTTTTGAAGGAGGTGTCTAAGAGAGCTATCGGATGCATTGGGGGTCATCTTTCAAAATCCTACAGATTATCTTTCAAAATTCCATTGACTGGGGAAAGGTTCCTGGAGATTGGACAGTAGCAAATGTAACACTACAATTTAGGAAGGGAGGGAGTGGGAATGTGGAGAAGTGCAGACCAGTTCATTTGATGTGAGTAGTAGGGAATTTGTTAGAATCTATTACGAAGAATGACATGAGTAGACACTAAATAAAGAATGGGTAAAGGGAACAAAGTCGACATAGATTTATGAAAGGGAAATCACGTTTAGCAAACCTGTTTGAGTTTACTAAGGATTATGGAGTATCAGTGGGTATGGTGTATTTGAGTTTTCAGATGGATTTTGATAAATGTACAGAAGGTTAGTGAACGAAATTAGAGCACACGGGAGGGGTGTGGTGGGGGGGGTGGTGGTTGAGTACTGTGTACTGAGATGGACTGAGAATTGATTAACAGAAAGCAGAAAATGGGAATAAATGGATCATTCTCACGATGGCAGACTCGTAGAGTACTGCAGATGTTCTCGCCATTGTGTGAGTGCAACAGTTTTATCAGACTGGGGTCTTTTTTATGAGGTGACATTGAGTCTGCATTCCATGGAATCTCAAAGAATGAGAGGTAATCTCGTTATAAAATTCTTACATGCTCCACACTGTGGATGTAGGTGGCAAGATGGCAGCAGGATAAGTTGCTCCATTCGGAGCTCCATTCTGCTCGCCAGTTCTCTTTCTCTCTTTGTCCCTCCTTTTATTTCACCCTTCTTCTCTCTCCCTCTGTGGTAATTCTAACCCCCCTACAACACCCAATCCCCTTTAACTACCTACCTAAGGAGTTGGGAAGGAGCTGGATCATGACTGGGAACCACGTGGCGAGAGCTGAACGCGCGGATTGTGTCCTGCAGCGACGTTGGATCGAGTGTGGGCCACAGCAATGCTGGTGGATCAAGGCTGGGCCGGCAAGAGCGGGCTGGTGAGGCAGCCGGGAGTGGGACGCTGGTGGCGGCATAACATGGGCTGGAAAGCCTGGAGCGGGACCCTGCCGGAGGCAGGGCGAGAACTGGAAAGCCTGGAGTGGGACTTTAGTGGAGGCTTGGCAAGGGCTGGAGAGCTCTGAATGGGACTGCAGCAGTGGAAAGGAAAGTCAGACTCTCATAAGTTTTTGTTTTCTTATCTTATTCTAAGTTAACGTGAATGGCGCCATGTATGTACGGTGAAGGTACACACTTTTCACTGTATTTTTACATTGAATACACGTGACAATAAATGATTCAATTCAATTCAATGATTCAGTTCCCAGCTGGTGAGGTTAGAACCAGAGGACATCATCTCAGGAAAGGGGGTGAACCATTTAAGACTGAAATGTGTAGTCAAACCTGCTGGTCTTCGCTTGTTATAATTCCCACAAAATAAATCCAGCAGAAAACAACTTTACAGAGATTTGGGCCTTTCTTACGATGTATTTCAACAAAAGATAATCTGCTGCATTTCCTCATCGAAACATTGAAAATGGCCAGCGTGGTAAAGAAGAAAGATTAATCCAAGTCACTCTCTTCATGAGTCAGTGTTTTCCTGAGAGGATGCCTAAATGTGTAATGAACTACATAAGGCACTGGAATTGTCAGATTGTCAACCTGCGATTATGATCTAAAGCCGAGCACACTGCTAAAGGAAGTCAATAATCAGAGTGTGCTGCATCGGGTGAAGAGGTTCAAATCGCTCATCTAACACAGACTTGAACAGACTTGAAATGGGCCACAGAATTTGCATTTGCTTTAGGTATTGGCAGAGGTTTCTGTATTCAAGTTTAATAGAAAATCCGATTGTCACCTAATCGTTTGAATGTTAGATGTCGGGTTAGAGTAATAACAAGCTTTGAAAATGACATCAAAGGCACAAAGGTGAGACCGATCTACCAGCAATCTGATGATTTTGCTAGATACAGTGAACAGCATTGAAGTATCAGCTAGCCATACCTGTGTTTTATAACCATATGTTTATGAGTTGACTTTGTTATGCAGAAAACAGCTGTGGAGTTATTTTAATGCACATTCCTTCCCATTCTTTCAGCTGGTTTCTCCTCAGGGCCTGCTGTGACCTGTACCATCTCCTCAGTGAAACAAAGCCAACTTAGAATCAGACCCTGAACATGCTCAGATTCGACAGTGAACATTCTAATCTTAGGATTGGTTACAACTGTGCTGCAGATTTGATGCGCCCCCTAACTTTCCTTCATCTCTGGGGAAGGACTCACATAGGGTTTTAGAAAAGTATTCTCTTTGTACCACAAAGATAACTTTCAGAGTGTGCACTGGCCATTACAGGAGGAAATCTTAGGCTCCCTGTATATTCTAGGAATGCTTCCTTTGATTTCACGTCTATTGCCGGCAGCACATATTTGGAAAAGTGGCCTGGACTTATTAACTTCAACTTGGGCAAACAAAATATGTTACAAAGATTAGCTCACAGAAACATAGGAAACTAAAAGCAGGAGAGAAAGCCATTCGGTCCTTCGAACCTGCTCTGCCGTGCTATATAATCATGACTGATCCTCTATGTCAATGCCATATTCCTGCTTTCCCCTTTGATGCCTTTAAAATTTAAAAATGTATCATGTATCCCTTGAATATATTCAGTGATTGGCCTCCACACCCTTCTGTAGTAGAGAATTCTACAGGTTCACTGTCCTTTGAGTGAAGAAACTCTCTAAATTAACTCCTAGTTTGTTAAGTGGAGAAGACCGCTCTGCTGTCATCTCAGATGAGAGTTTTTTCTGTGTCTCCTGTTGTTCACTTTTTTGCTTTCCACACTGAGTGTTGTGTGTGTATGCTTAGTTAGCCTTTGAGTTGCGCTGCCTGCACTTCTAGACACAGAGAGATTGCGGAAGTCATTTCACAGAGTTTTCTCCCACCATTGATGAGTATTCAACATGAACCCACATCCCAAAAGTAATATGTAGGAAACTTGACTTGCTGTACCATATTGACTCTTTTTATGCCTAAAGGATTTTGTCCAAGTTATAATAAAATTGTTATTAAGATTAGTAAATATAGACATTCCTCTTAATTCTTCAAGCAAGTTTAGATACAATATAGATATATAAAATGTGGTGTTTTGTAAAGTCATGAAACAAGCTGCAGGAAAGGGCTATGGTATTGGTTGATTGTATTCACACTTAATATGACATTTGGCTTTGCTTTCAGTCGGGGTTTGGCTAGCTCTGAGTAATGCAGGGGCTTACTTACCTAACTGAACTTGATGTTACCCTTTTTGGCTTTAGAATGGGTTTGCTCACTTGTGATCAGCTTGGGTAGAGGCAGGTATGTCTCTGTGTGTGTGTGTGTGTGTGTGTGTGTGTGTGTGTGTACAAGAGAGATGTCTATGGGTCTGTCTGTCCATGTGTGTGTGTGCGCAAGAGAATTCTGTCTATCTGTGTGTATCTGTGTACGTGAGAGGTGTCTCTGTGTGTGTGATTGTGTGCCTGCCTGTGTGTATTTGTGGCTGTGTGTGTGTTCATGTCTCTGTGTGTGTCTATGTACACAGGAGGGGTCTGTGTTTGTGTCTGTGTGTGCATTTACATACATGAAAGGTGTCTGTGCGTGTGCGTGTGTTTGTGTCTACGTGTGCGTGTCTATGTACACGAGAGGCATCTGCATCCTATGAACTGTAGGAATAGTTGCCCACATGCCCCCTCCAAGCTCCAGGGAAAATTCCTGCATTACCACCTTTGTGACTGATTTTGATGCACAGATGTTTTTCCTTCATGTTGGTTGTGGCATAGATGGTATCCTGAAACACAACAGAGAAACAGATCCCCTTGTAGAGGGCAGTGTCAGCTGCACCAGCCTGTGTGGTGCAGGATGTGGCAATTCTGGCTAAGCCCAACCTAGTACATGCATGGGTGAGGTTGTAAGGCTATTTGGACTCATGCCCAGGGTGGTTGAATGTAGGGCATGCCCTGGCAATATCCTTCTTCTCTCAATAAATAGTCAGGTTTTGTGCATTCAGCATTAAATGCATTTCCCAGGTGTGCTAAAATGTGACTTGGGGGCTGGTTACTGTAGCAAAGGTGTGGCTGGAATACAGAGAGCACACATTGTTCAGAACAACCAGCCCACTATGCTCTGACTCAAATTGGATAACACACAAGAGGCACAGGACAGATGGTATATCTTCCAGATCAGCCCACAGATAAAGCAAAGCTACTCACCGAACAAATGATGGTCTGTGCCAACAGCTGAAGCTGGTAGTGGCTGAGTATGACGAGTAGACTAAACCTTTTCAGAATGATGCTATGGAAGTCTTAATCCCTGAGGTGCCACCAAGGAGGATTCCCGTCATCTCAGGGTTGCAAGAGCTCATTTAGATTCATTATTCGCGAATTGTCGGCTGTAGCTAGTAAAAAGATAGAAAACAGTCTCACTCACCCGCCGGTCGCGGGAACAGATGGTAAAGACATTTTCTGGATTCGAGAGGATGGCCAAGGTAGAAATGTCTGGGATTTGCCAGCTTTTTTTTTACAGTATAGCCTAATGATGACTCGCAGCAAGAGCTTATCCCTAACATGGTCCAGCTTCATGGAGAGAAGCTACAAAGCATTCAGGCTGGGATCTGTTGGAAGAAATGTGTTACTGTGCCAATATTCCAACCTCCACCCTCTGTTTGTTCATACTTATCGGGGAATAGAATACAGAAGGCCAACTCCACCTTGCTCCCAGTCCCTGCTCCACTTATTCCTAATTGGACTGGCCAGCCTGCAAACAATGGTCTAGTGGTATCATTGTTAGACTATTAATCCAGAAACTCAGCTAATGTTCTGGGGACCCAGGTTCGAATCCTGTCATGGCAGATGGTGGAAAATGAATTCAATGAAATTTCTGAAATGAAGAATCGGCCGATGACCACGAAACCATTGTTGATGATTGGGGAAAGGCTTTACTAATGTCCTTCAAGGAAGGAAATCTGTCATCCTTATCTGGTCTGGCCTACATGTGACTCCAGATCCACTGCAATGTGGTTGACTCTCAAGTGGTCCAGCAAGCCACTCAGTTGATTCAATCGCTACAATGTCTCAACAAAAAAATAAAATTGGATGGACCACTCCGCATCAACCTAGGCATCAGAATGCTCTATGCCAGAAACAGCCCTGTCGACCCTGCAAATTCCTCCTCACTAACATCTGGGGGCTAGTGCCAAAATTGGGACAGCTGTCTCACACATCAAGCAACAGCCTGACATAATTATACTTACGGAATCATACCTTACAGACAATGTCCCAGACACCACCATCACCATCCCTGGATATGTCCTGTCCCTCCGGCAGGACAGACCCAGCAGAGGTGGCAGCACAGTGGTATACAGTCGGGAGGGTGTTGCTCTGGGAGTCCTCAACATTGACTCCGGACCCCATGAAGTCTCAGAGTATCAGGTCAAACTGGAAACTTCCATGCCATCCTCCTTCAGCTGGTGAATCAGTATTCCCCCATGTTGAACAACACTTGAAGGAATGACTGAGGGTGGGAAGGCCACAAATGTACTCTGGGTGGGGGATTTCAATGTTTGTCACAAAGAGAGGCTCAGAGCAGCATTATGGATCGAGTTGGTCCGGTCCGAAAAGACATATCTGCTCATCTGGGTCCAATCCAATCCAATCTAATCAGGCCAATTACCGCCCCATCAGTCTCCTCTCGATCATCAGTAAAGTGATGGAAGGTGTCATCAGCAGTGTTATCAAGCAGTACCTGCTCAGCAATAACCTGCTCAGTGACACCCAGTTTGGGTACCGCCAGGGCCACTCAGCTCCTGACCTCATTACAGCCCCTCGTTCAAACATGGACAAAAGAGCTGAATTCTAGAGGTGAGGTCAGAGTGATAGCCCTTGACATCAAGGCTGCATTCGACTGAGTGTGGCATCAAGGAGTCCTAGCAAAACTGGAATCAATGGGTATCAGGGGGCAAATGCTCCAGTGGTTGGAGTCATACCTGGCACATAGGAAGATGGTCATGGTTAAAGGAGGTCAGTCATCTCAGCTCCAGGACACCTCTGCAGGAGATCCTCAGGGTGGTGTCCTAGGCCCAACCATCTTTAGCTGCTTCATTAATGACCTTCCCTTCATCATAAGGTCAGAAGTGGGGATGTTCCCCGATAATTGCACAATGTTCAAAACTATTCGTGACTCCTCAGATACTGAAACAGTCCATGCTCAAATGCAACAAGATTTGGACAATATCCAGGCTTGGCCTATCAAGTGGCAATTAACATTTGTGACACAGGTGATGACCATCTCTAATAAGAGACAATCTAACCACTGGCCCTTGACATTCAATGGTGTTACCATCACTCAAAACCGATTGTCAACATCCTGGGTGTTACCATTAACCAGAACCTCAACTGGAATCATCATATAAGCACAGGGGCTACAAGAGCAGGTCAGAAGCTAGGAATTCTGTAGCAAATAACTCTCCCCCTGACTCCCCACAGCCTGTCCACCATCTACGAGGCACAAGTCAGGAGTGTGATGGAATACTCCCCACTTGCCTGGATGAGTGCAGCCCCAACAACACTCAAGAAGCTTGACACCATCCAGGACAAAGCAGCCCGCTTGATTGGCACCACATCCACAAGCATCCACTCCCTCTACCACTGACGCTCAGTAGCAGCAGTGCGCACCATCTACAAGATGCACTGCAGAAATTCTGTAAAGATCCAAAGACAGCACCTTCCAAACCCACGACCACTTCCATCTGGAAGGACAAGAGCAGCAGTTGGTTGGGAACACTACCTTTCCGAGTTCCCCTCCAAGCCACTCACCATCCTGACTTAGAAAAATATACCACCATTCCTTCACTGTTGCTGGGTCACAATCCTGGAATTCCTTCCTAATGGCATTGTGTGTCAACCCACAGCAGGTGGACTGCAACAGTTCAAGAAGGCAGCTCACCACCACCTTCTCAAAGGCAACGATGAATGGGCAATAAATGCTGACCCAGCCAGTGACAGCCATATCCCACAAGTGAATAAAAAAAAACTCAGATTCCTGTGGCCAGGAATAACAACAATGTCATGGCCCAACGCAAGGGAACATTTCCATCCAGATAAATCTGTACAGACATTCAACAGTCAACTACCACACTTCCTCCTCATTTGGATGAAACACTATGTTAGATTGCACATGTAAAAAAACTTGCAAACATATAGCATCTCTCATATGACAAGTCCAAAAGCACTTTACAGTCAATGGAAGACCGTTCAATGTTGCAATATTTGATAAGTCGAGAAACACCGTCAGGCGAATAGATTAGACACTGTAATAGTGGAGACATAAGCAGGGAACAATGGTGCGACACTTCATGTTCAAAGCAATGGTCACCTTGATAGCAGCCTATACATGCTGCCCTGGACTCTATGGGTCTTGTTCAATGTGAGGGCTGCCTCTCACAAACAGTGAAGGAAGATATTTTCTGGCATATTTAAGCAGCTTTGGCTACTGGGTTCTGAGCAAAGAAATAGCAAGAGTACCGAACCAGTGGGGTATTCATCTTCCTATCTATAGCAACTACAGTTAAATACAAGTCTAGTTTGCATTTATGTAGCACCCTTCACAACCTCAGGATGCTCCAAAACACTTCACAGTAACAGCCAAGGCCTTAATATGTACATATGGTCAATCTGCACACAGCACACTCCCACAAACAGCAACAAAGTAATGACCAGATAATCTTTTGTAACGGTGTTGGTTGGGGGATCAATACTGCTCAGAGCACCCTCCTGATATTCTGCAAAATAGTGCCGTAGGATCTTTTACATCTACCTGAGCAGTCAGGTGAGGCGTCAGTTTAATATCTTGTTCAAAAACGACACAATCTCAGTACCTCACAGAATTAGATATTGGTGCTGGACTAGGACAGGTGTCCATCTTCCTCATGGTAATTGTGGTAGCTTAAATTAAAATGGCCAACAATTTACCAATGCCAACATTACTTCTCCACTCTCCCAAAAAATTGCAAAAATGGAAACCTTAGGACAAATCAGAAACCCTCACAGCCTCAGTAAAAATTGGCATTTTCTGTGCCCTGAGCAAGGAACAAGCTAAGGCTCTGTGCAATCAATTTCCCATCAGCCACTCAACAGCCCACTGCTGATCTTCCTGGTGCATTCAATTCTGCAATTGGATCTGACAGGTGTATTATGTATTAAATGACAGGTGTATTAAATGATAATTGCATATGTCACAAAATTTGTCTCCTCGAACAGGGTAGCACTTCCTCAGCACTGCACTGGAGTGTCAGCATTCATTTGGTGTTCAAGTTTCTGAAACGACTGAAATCTCAGCAGAGTCTCCCTGTGTGAGGCAATGTTCCAACTCTGCTACCTCACAAAGCACAGCTTGTTTGAAATGAATGGCCTTTTGTACCACAGCCAGGGATTTGTTCAATAAAACATTAAATGGTTTTCCATTTAAGGAAAGGCTCAGTCCCAATAAATGCAGTTTTCCAAACATTTATGGTACTCTTAAAATCCTCACGGAACTTGTACGAGTCTGAATCAAAATGATTAAAGTATGCACTGAAATATACAAATGGAAATTATTGGCAAGTATTGGAAAAGAATCAGAGAGGTTTTTTTTTAAACTAGTGAATTGTTATAATCTGGAATGAACTGCTTGAAAGAATGATGGAAGCAGAATCGATAGTAACTTACAAAAAGGAATTGGATAAAAACTTGAAAAGGTATTTTTTGTCAGGCTATGGTGCAAGAGCAGGTGGGTGGGGCTATTTGGTTAGCTTTCTCAAAGAGCTAGCACAGGGTAAATGGAGTGAATGTACTCTTTCTGTAGTCAATGATTTTGTTCCATGTTTATGATCATGATCAGAGTCTGCATGGGCTGCCAGATCAGCTTTTAAGTTCTTAAACATTATTCCTCTATTTTTATGTCACTGTTATTATAAAGTCCTGTTGAAATCTTCTTGTGTTGTCAAACATTTTAATTGTCTTCTTTTATGATGTTAAACTATGAGAGCTGTTCTAAGACCATTAGATGTAGGAACAGGAGGAAGCTGTTCAGTTCCTCAAGCCCGCTCCACCATTCAATACCATCCTGGCTGATCTGACATTCCTCACTATTATTTTCCTGCCCTTTCCTCATAACTCTTGATTCCCCTACTGATCAAAAATCTATTTATCTCAGCCTTAAATATACACAAGGACTCTGCCCCCACAGATCTCTGTGGTAAGGAGTTTCAAAGTCTCACAACCCAATGAGAGAAGAAATTCTTCCTCATCTCAGTCTTGAATTGGTGCCCCTTTATTCTGAAGCTATGCCCTTTAGTCCTTGACTCTCCCATAAGGGGAACAACCTCTCAGCATTTCCCCTGTTAAGCATCTTAGGAATCCCATGTGTTTCAATGAGATCACCTCTTGTTCTTCTAAACTCCAGTGAGTAGGGTCCTAACTTGTTTAACCTTTCTTCATAAGACAATCCCTCCATACCAAGGATCATCCTACTGAACTTTTTCTGAATTGCCTCCAATGAAATGATATCTTTCCTTAAATAAGGGGACTAAAACTTTTCACAGTACTTCAGATGTAGTCTCACCAGCAACTTGTACAGTTGCAGTAAGACTTCCCTACTCTTATACTCTAAGCCCCTTGAAATAAGAGCCACCATTCCATTAGCCTCCCCGATTACCTGCTGCACCTATGTGCTACGTTTCTGTATTTCATGTACAATACCCCGCAAGTCCCTTTGTGTTGCAGCTTTTCTCCATTTAAATAATACTCTGTTCTTTTGCTCTCCCTTCCAAAATGAACAACTTCATATTTTCTCGTACAAAATTGATAGATAGAAGTCAGATAGATTGATGCTAGTGAAATTAAACAGGCAACCAGTGGACACTGTTCAAGTATATAAATCTACAAGTGAACATCAAGATGAAAAAGCTGAAGGTGCCATAGTCCTACTGGGCCATAGTGGCACTTTGTCAGTAGAGTTGAGGTATTTTTACCTGTGGGTTACCAAGGCTTAGGTGAAATTGAGAAAGAGAACCCTACATGTTAACTGAAGCTGTCGGGGGAATTGAACTAACACTGTTGGCATCACTCTGTATTGCAAGCAAGCTGTCCAGCCAACTGAGCTAACCAACACCCACCTATGTACAGATGAAGAGACTGCTGAAGTGTATGATAGAATTGAAGAACAAATAAAAAGGTACAGAGCAAGAGCTTTGTCTTTGTCTGGGAGATTGGAATGGTAATATTGGGGAAGGAAGAGACAACAAAAACAAAGGACCGGGTGGTCTTGTGGGGGAAAAAAAAAGACAAGCAAGGTGAAAAATTGGTAGAATTTTGCAGAAATGCAGGACTCACGAAAACAACAATTCTATGATATAAAATTACAATGTTGTACACTCTGAAAATCAAAGTGTGAATTTACCTGGAGCTAATATAGCAAGAGAACGAGCGAAGAATTGATTTTCACAAGCCATCATAATGACTCTCAGTTAAAACATACAAAGCTGGGGGGAGCGTTAATATTAGAGTTTTTAATGAAAAAGGACATATGCCAGTTATTAAGAATTCCCAATCCTCTGGACTAGCACTAGATTTTGCCACTTTGTATGCTTGAGTTTTTGACTTGAAGCTCTCCTTGATCATCTTTGTTAACTGTTCTTTTCAATCAGAATAATTTTTTGCTGTTATGAAATATCTACTTAAACGTCTGTGACTGCTCATCCACTGACTTCCCTCTCTGCCTATTTTTTCCAGCCTACTTCAGGCAACTCTTTCTTCAGCCTTGGGTAATTGCCCTTATTTGGGTTGAGGATATTGGTTTGAGACCTGATTTGCTCTCCCTCAAATTGAATTTGAAAGTCTGCCATGTTATGGTTGCTCCCCACTACAGGACTCTTAACTACAATATTGTATTAATCCTGCTGCATCTAAACATACTAGATCTAAAATAGCCTGTTTCCAGCTAAGTTCTGCAAAGTATGGATCTAAGAAACAATCCCTAATGCAATCTACAAATTTGTCTTCTATGTTATCCTTACACAGCTGATTTGTCCAGTCAGTATGCAGACTAAAATCACCCACTACATTCGTACTGCCCTTCTTACATGTCTCTTTTATTTCCGGATTTATTCTTTAGCCTATTTTGAGGAAACTCTTCGGGGACCTGAAGATGATTCTCAATCATGATTTCTTTCCCTTGTTTTTCCTTATTTCCAGCCAAACTGATTCCACATCTCAATTTATTGCACCTATGTCACTGCTTACCACCTCACTGATATCTTCCTTTATTAACAAAGCTAACCACCTCCTTTTCCTTTTTGCCTAATCTTCTAGAACACCCAATATCCTTAAATATTGAGTTTCTAGTCCTGGTCACCCTGCATGCAAAGCTCCATAATAGCCATCAAGTCATACTGATTTCTGTTTCAGTTGTCAACCTTGTTATAATTGCTGTGTGCATTCAAATAAGTTTTGACCTTTTACCATCTTGACAGACGAATTCCAACTATTTGGAACCATCCCAACTTCCCTCTGGGAGTGAAAACACTGTCTTCAGTAAATGACTGTTCTCCTGTGACAAGCCAACTAGATGAACTATGAACTCTAAAGAGTCACTCGACCTGAAATGTTGACTCTGCTTTCTCTCCATGGATGATGCCAGATCTGCTGAGCTTTTCCAGCAATTCTGTTTTGTTTCTGAACTATGAACTCTCTTGCTTCATCTACAACTTGTAAAAGTGCTGTATTCTCTTCAACTGTAACTGCACATGTGCACATAAGGTAATGTTTAAAATTTATGGGGTGAATGCATTTATAAATAACCCTCTATATTTAGCTCCATAAAAGTTTGTTGCTGTCATTTACATTGACACACATACAGCATCCATTAAAAAAAGATTACAAACATTAAGGGAAAAGGTCCCAGTGGTTTCATTATTCTCCAGATCCTGTCTGTAACAATTGCCATTCTAGCGTATCTGAGCAGTAGCTGCTTCTCCTGTTGCAACACCATCACTTTGGGAGAACCCAAAGATTAGCCTGTTCCTCAAAGTACAGGCTGACTTCAGAGATAACATCTGGAGATATAAAGATAACGTCCACCTGTATCCTGGTGACCTATAAACTGTCCATTTGACAACATAGCGCCATGCAATGAATGACATTCACTGAGTACCACTAAGTCAAAGCCATGCACACACAATGCTCCGTTTCTACTGCCTCCAGCCTTTTATCTTGGACTCTGAGCACAGATGTTGTGTATATAGCACTCCAGGGAACATTAAGAACTTGGGCCAAACTGGGATTCTGTGCACTCAGCTCCAACTAAACCAAGTAGTCAGCACCCTAATAACTGAGCAGAAGGTCATTAGCAGTGTTTTGATTGTTAAGCCCTACGCTGCTAGTAAGTTAAGAGCAAAACTTGAAGGGGGGGGGGGGGGGGGCACGATCATTTGTATTTATATAGCACTCTCCGTGACCCTGAAATATCCGAAGAAAAACCTTAGAGTCAATGAAATATCTTTTAGTGTAGGCAATGCTGTAATGTAGGGAACGTGGGAGCCAAATTGTACGCAGCAAAGCTTCCCCTGCAAACTTAGCGACCATTGTAATAACTGGATAAATATCACAGGCACATTATAGAAGCCTGAGAGAGATGAGGACTGGATACCATTCTAGTGAACAGCACATTTACAGCCTGTATGGAGACATGGCCGAGTAGGATTTGTCCAGAATCTTCTTCACTCAGGCTCCAGATGTATGTGATCCGACGTCATTGATGAACGTCGTTTGGCTATTGGCATAAATGACAATGAAAATTGTTTTCACGCTACCAGTCGGGGAAATCACGAGGGAGCAGCTGAGGCGAGAGTTTAAAGGGTTTACCTGAAAATGTGACTCGGACAGAGCCTCCCCTCGCCCCTCAAACACAAAGCTACTGCCTCAGAGGCAAGTACGGATCACTTAATCCCAGTTAGCACCCAAACTTTGTACTGAACCTCAATTTTTGTCAACCTGACTCTACATTTTCCAGAAAGGTGACTGGGATGTGTGTCTATGGTCTGGGTGGGGACAGCGGGATGCACATGCGGTATAACAAAGAGCAACCTCAGCCTCCGCCCCCATCCAACATTTACATCAGACTCCGACCCAGCTGCTCAACCGTGAGTTTCTTCAGCCCCTACATCACGCCATAAATACACTTACACTACATAAAACAGATATACATTATTAGGTAGGGTGTAAGGGGTATTCATTACAAATAGAGATATAGCGAGTGTCCTTAAATTGCAGCACTGTTCTGGGATCCTTCTGTGCACCCGGAAGGTTTTAACTCTGTTTCTCTCTCCACAGATGCTGCCAGACCCTACTGGGTTTCTCCAGCGCTGGCTGTGTTTATTTCTGGCTTTGACTTGCTGTGAAATTCCAGTCCACACAGAGAGAAAGCACTTAGGGCTTATCGTTCAGCCCACTTGTTCCAGGTTTCTCTCTCCCTCACACACACAAACAGATCTACAAATGCCTGCCGCTTCCCTTCGTTAGGAAAGCCCTGCAGATTGGAAGCTGGGGGTTTCCAGTTGGATGTAGTAACGCCCCTCCTCGGACAGAGCCTGATATAAACCAGCCCCGGGAACAGGGAGCTAAGAGTTGTTGCTTGTGTGCTCTGGTAGCCATACAAACAGCTCGCAATGCTCGCCCCTTGCCTGCTGACCCTCGCCTCCTTCCTGCTGGAGGCCGGGGCACAAATGTCTTCGAGTTTCTCCCGCAGCCTGAGGCGGGATGGTCGCTGCATTTACTCGTTTAGTGTAGCCGGGCCGGCCGAGGACGCTTGCTCGGAGCCCGGGGAGGCTCTGGCGGCGGTGAGGGAGCTGCGGAGCGAGAGGGAGGGCCAGCAGCGAGAGCTCGCCGAGCTGGCCAACAGGCTGCGCCTCCTGGAGAGCTGGATGGTCCGCTCCCAGGGCCAGCTGTCCGGGCAGCAGGGGGAGAGCCTGAATTTACTACGGAGGCTGCAGGAGCTGGAGCAGGAGAACAGGCAGCTCCGAGCCGGTCACTGCCCTCAGGCCGGCCGGGAATCCCAGCAAGGTGGGACTAGGCAGGCAGGCAGGGGGATGGGTTAGACTGCGCTCCAGCTGCCGGCTCAGGGGGCTCGGTCTCGGGAGGAGAATTCCTCCCTGCGGATCCGCAATCTGGGTCCTAAGGACAAAACCCTTCCCAGAACCGAGCCCCCTCCGGGGGACTTTTAAACTGGACACGGGAGGAGGGAGAGAAGCAGTCAGTACCTCTTCAACCCCAGAATTAAAAGCTCCCTCTCTGATCCAGGATCAAACTCTAGGATTCATAGCTACCTCCCCGATCCGGGATCGGACCATTTCTGGTCTGGAGTCCCCAGCAGATGATCACATCAATAATTTAGAATAAGGAGCGGGTGGTGTTCCTGGCTAACTTTTTTTTGTCCGTCACAGCCGTGGAAGGTGGCAGACTTGGGAAAATTACTGCCTGAGGCTGGAAATGAGAAGTGACCGGCGCCCTAGAGCAGGGCGGAAAACCTCGGCGAGCTGTGCATTTCAAGCACTCTTTTTAAAAAACAAACTCTGCACGGATTAGTATCTGAAAACTGAGAGCGGACTTCACTTCCTTCCTTCCTTCCACCCCCTAAAAAAAAAAGGTCTATTTGATTTGTGCGCGTTTAATTTCAGTTTTAAGCAAGACAGGCAGGGACGGGGAGCAAGGGAGAACGCCAGACCCTGACTAAAACGCGTGTGTATTCTGCTGCAGGCGCACAAAGTCTTACCGGGTCGTCCTCTCGCCAGAGAACGCAGCCTGATGGACGTGGTGAGTCCCATTCCAAGAAGTCTTTCCAATTGGAAGGAACCTTTTTTTTCCCTCTATAACTATTTTGAAAGTGAAAACAGAATGTAGAGATTGCATGTGATGTTTACATTGCCACAGCTTTCTTTTCGGCGATTTGCACAGTCCGGACTAACGGTTTCTATTGCCCCCAGCGTCCAGTTGGAGATTCGAAGATCGTGGGTTCCAAGAACTGAAGTCGGAGATCACCGAGATCCCAGCCTCCAGTCTGATCCAGAGGAGCGATCCGGGCGGCCAGGACACAGCACCACACAGTTCAGGTACCTTCAGAAAGCCCTGGACACGGGCAGGTGACCCCACAGCGAGGGGACTGAAAGGTCTGTGAATGGAGAAGGGAGAAAAGAAAGTTAACACTTCGAGTCTAATATGACTTCTTCAAACTCGAGTTTCTCCAGCATTTTACTGCGGGTTTTTGTTTTGAAATCTTAGATTCCCAGCATCTGCCGTTATATTTCTTTTACACTACTGTGGGTGAGATTGCTTCTGCTGGTAGTTTGTTTCCCCAGAGCCAAGTGTTACTTTGTGAAAATGCGCAATTTAGTCAAGCGACCGGCAGGCGGCGAAAAGATACCATTGACTTTTTTTTGCATCTGCAGCAATTTCGATGTTTGCATGTTTTTAATGTAATAAGATGAATTAAACACGGACACGACCCTCTTCAACGGAGATTGAATCAGGTGAGCGTCAGTTTGGTGTTAGGGCTTGAAGTGGAGATCTGGAGAGGAAAAAAATTTATTGCTGCAGATGCTGGAAATCACAGCGAGTCAGGAAGACCTGGAGAAGTTTGAGCTTTTATATGGAGAACAACAGCCTTTTCCATCATAGAATAGAATCCCTACAGTGTGGAAACAGGCCCTTCAGCCCAACAAGTCCACACCAACCCTCAGAGCATCCCACCCTGACACATACCCCTATAACCCGCCTAATCTACACAACCCTGAACACTAGGGGCAATTTAGCATGGCCAATCCACCTAGCCTGCACATCTTTGGACAGTGGGAGGAAACCGGAGCACCCGGAGGAAATCCACGCAGACAGGGTGGAATCGAACCACTGAGCCACCGTATAACCCATACGCCAAAAAGGCTGAATGGGGTGTAAATGAAAGAAAAAAGCACCAATAGCTCCAAGTTCAGCCGGTTTCAGCGGTGTAGTCTTGCAGCTTTATACACAAATCAAATTTAGTGGGAAATGGGATGCAAAGTGGTACCTTTACAATTAAAATCAAAGGTATAAGGAACATGATTGACTGGGAAAGACCCTCTGGCAGGCAACACCCACTGTGGGCGAGCTACATTCTGCGAGTAACCGGCAGCTAGCGAAAGGGTACCATCCTTTTTTCGTTTGTGTAACTTATGTAATACAAGTCGAGGTCTGTCCGACAGTTAACGTCTTGTGTATCATAACAAATACTTGCCACTCACCAATAAACTCTCGGAAGGCCAAAAAAAGTCAGCTTAAATTGTCCCTGATTGGCCTGAATTTTTAAATTCCTGATCCCATTAGGCCATGGAAATTCCGCCCTCCCCGCCCCCGAATCATTTAAACCCCGATTTTATATTCATGTTTATGGCACCCAAGCCACACTTGGAACAATGCAGAAGTGTTCCAACTTAGTGATTCGTTATTCCAAAGTGACTGAGAACAAAAATTCAAGAATTTCAGTAACTACCCGCCCCTGGAAAAACCCGTTTAAATTCTGAACAATGCCTCCTTTGCCATGCCAACTTATAAACTAAGGGTAAGGAGTTGGCCATTCCAGGGAGCTTCTGTTAATATCAGACACATACCTCAACGCTAGTTGCACACTTTTGAACCGTATCCAGTGGTACCCCAACTCCATAAACATCTGGTGATCTATCTTAGAAGATCCACAACTTTGAGAATTACATACTTCTACCACACTTAATGGCTCAGCTGAGCCATTAAGTTTATATCCCCTAGTTTTGGATTACCGCACGAAGGGAAAGGCTTCTCCAGATTGCAGGTGCCTTACAATTAGATGGAATGCACTTTTTAAAATTAGGAGGACAATGCTCATGTTCAATTAAGTGATTGTAGAAAAGTCAACTCTACTTTGTCATTAAAATGCAGAGCCTGAATGGATTTATTTCTTCTTGCCCTAGTAGGTTGTGGAATGCTGGAATGGGTAGGAGATCCAGTTACATTCCAAAAAGCAGACTCCATCCTAGGCAAGTATGGAGTTTGGATGAAAGATCCTGAGCCTGTACCACATCACACCAGGGACACTATCTGGAGAATCAACACTGTTGGCACAGATGTTCGGCTTCTATACGAATACAACGACCTGGATCAATTTGTGAAGGGCCACCCCAGCAAAGTATACGTATTACCAGAACCAGTGGAGAGCACAGGAAGCGTCATTTACAGAGGCTCCTTGTATTATCAGAAACGCAAATCAAGGTCCTTATTGAGATATGAAATGAAAACAGAGACTATTTTAGTTCGAAAGGACCTAACTAATGCAGGTTATCAAGGTGTGTACCCATACTCCTGGGGTGGCTACACAGACATAGATTTTGCTGTAGATGAGATGGGGCTTTGGGTAACTTACAGTACCCATCAGGCTCAAGGAGCCATTGTAATCTCCAAATTGGATCCAAAAACTCTGCAAATGGAGCAAACATGGACAACAACTATACGCAGAAGATCAGTTGCTAATTCTTTCATGATCTGTGGGATTCTCTACACTCTAAACAGTTATTCCAATCGCCATGCCATAATCAATTTTGCCTACAACACTAACACAAACACCAGCAAGGTGATGAATATCCCATTTGAAAACCGTTATCGATACAACTGCATGACTGATTACAATCCAGCAGAAAAGAAAATCCTGGCGTGGGACAATTTCAACATGGTCATGTATGACATTAGGCTTTCCAAATTATGAAGACCCTCAAGAATATCTTTGAAGGAACTTGTTTTAAAAACATACATATAGATAATGGCTAGTTACAGCACAAGCAGCAATTTACGCATTAATTGGATTATGCACAAATAATATCTTCATTCTTGACTGCAGTTTCACTACAAACCAATCTGACAGCATATAATATAAACTGAACAAGATGTTTGTTTAAAATGCAGCTCAATTGCATTGCTGTTAAAACTTAAGTGAGTAGGGAATGAGTCTATCGACACTTGCTTAAAAAACTCAGTCCAATCAAGTAGTTTGTTTTTTTTTTAAATGGGAGCATGTATGAAATTGTAGACTTGACTTCCCCAAAAAAAGTGCTTGTTTGAAGTTAACATCTTTTATAAGCCCTTGTTTTAATCATCTCAGAGCAAAAATAAACTTGATAATAATTAACAATATTCAAAAAATCAACTCTAGTATTTTGATAAGATACTAGGAAACCAAGTAGGTGTACTGAGACAGAAAATTAAGCTGCATTTACATTTATGTTTCAAGCTGGACTGGGCATGTTTCGATTGAGCTAACTGAACTAACTTATTTACCAAATGACAAACATTCACACAATTTAACAGGGCTGTATCTTTGTACCAAATGCATTGTCAACTTCCAAGTACCAGCACTGGACTTTCTAATTACCTTTAGTAAAAATAAAAAAAAATAAAGTTGGTATAAACCTTTACACATGTTCCTTTTTACAAGTGTAACTAACACCAATCAGCATTGTTTTTCCAAGTCTCAAACTTTGAGCATATAGATCAAAATGAATTCATATTCCAACATGAGCCATCAGAATTTTAAAAAAACTAATTACGTTATTCTAAATCCATAAATGAATCTTGATTAGTCTGCACATAAAGAGTCTGAGTGCCATATTATAGAAAGGATTATAGAGGCACAGAGATGATTACAAGAATGATATCAGTATTGCACAGGCATACATACTGGGAAACAAGAGACAGGTTGGGTCTCTCCTGAAAATGCTGCTGGGTAAGAAGTTCTTAAATAAAAGGTTTTGATGCAGTGGATAGATCAAGAGAATATCTTATGGGGGAAAAGGACACAGCTAGGAGCCATCAATATTTATATTTGACCAAGAAATACAATAGGCAATTCAGAAGTAACCTCTTCACCCAGGTAACAATGGGCAGGTGTGTGGAACTGGTTGCTGTAGAATATTGAGGTGACTAGTATTAATGTATTTTAAGTGGAATCCAGATGAGCATCTGAGAAGGGAAAAGATGGGCACAATGGTGGATTTAGATGAGAAAAGGTGGTGGAGACTCCTGTGAAGCATGAACACCAACACAGGAACAGGTTATTTGGCCCAACTGTCTATGCTATGTATCCTTAGCTCAGTTGGCTAGACGGCTGGTTTGCAATGCAGAGTAATGCCAACAACACAGGTTCAATTCCCACACTGGCTAGGATTACCATGACAGTCGTGCCTTCTCAACCTTGCCCCTCACTGAAGGAGTGGTGACTCTCAAGTCAAATTCAGCACCAGCTCTCTCTAATGACAAATTGAACGGTGACTTTACATTTCCTACGTAATCTCAATACATGCAGTGTGTCACTTGAGCCCTCAGATTCCACATATCTATGCCACTTCATTCGCTTCCAGGGAAATAAAAATGCACTGAATGGGGTCATGGAAAAGTGAACAAGGGAGAAATGCAGATGCAAGTCTAAGTCCATCAGTGCTTCTCCATTCAAAAGAAAGGTTTTGACAATGTGAAATGCATTACACACAGCACTTGGCAGCATTATGAAAACAACACTAACTGAAAGCACATGACAGGAAATATAAATTGCTATTATTAAAACATGATACACAAAAATTTCAGAGCATATTTTTATTAGTTATGTAACCAAACCAAATTAATTGTAAATAAGATCATACATATTTAATAGTGCGTTAACCCTGTACAAATGAAAAAATTAAAGAATAATATTTCTATACCAATATGGCTGTTAACTTCTGTACAATGCCAAACGAATACACAGTACAGGTGGAATACAAATCTCAAAATCAGACATCACAGCTGAGTTTTCAAAGTAAGCAAATAAAACCGACTTGTCAAAACACATTACTGATGGTAAGCAGCTTTTTCAGCAGTGTAGCTTTCCCAGTGCCACCCCAGCCATGTGACAAAAATATACACATCAATAAATCAATCTTTTAGCTCACACTTTGTGCCAAGGTTTCAGAATACCAATAACAGCAATCCTCAATTTTTTTGTACCTTCATCAGAATCTTATTTGTATCAAACCTGGGTAAGATTTCTGTAATAAAAACAGCTGTGTTACTAGCACAGTCACTACGTAATGATTGATCATATGCAGATAGACAAGATATCTTACATTCACACAGTATAATACAGTACATCCTACAACTATAATACTAGCATATAATCAAAAAAGGCAATTAGACTTGTGATTAAAATGGTTTATGCATAAACACAATTGCAAATTAATAGGGTGAAAGAGGGAGCTTAACTCATTCACTTAGTCTTTACTGTAATTAAGCTTGTGAAAAAATTAAATAACATTTTAATGAGAGGATTATTAAATTGCTTTAAAAAGTGTAAAACCAGTCAGCTTCCAGGTTGGCCATTTTTACATAATTTCAGTGATTATCTAAAGGAAAAAAATGCCACACAAGTCAGACATTGCCTTTTCAAATTTTCAAGATTCAAAAGTCAACATTAAATGTTCATCATAGGATTAGTTTACACATCTGGGCTTTTCTGTTGCTCAAAATTATGATCCATCTGATTCTGCATATCGCAAAACAGCTCACCTTTCACTTCACTACTTCACATCTCACTTCTTTGTTTGAAAGAAATTCCATGTTTTGAGCTACATCTTTCTGCTCTTATCTCACAGAGAAGAGCTCCCATTGCACCTGAAGGATGCTTAGAACACCTACTCTGATCTATCAGCTATTTAGGATTTTGTTTCTTCTGTTTTAACTGCCTGAGGTTTGATTGGTCCAGTTCGAACGGGTTTTGACAAAGCAGCCTGACTTGAATTGGGTTTTTCTTCCACCTTCTCGTCTCTTGTGCTTGAAATGCCTGACCCGCCGCTCTCAGTTGGTTTACCCCCAGTGCCGTCATTTTTGTGACCTTTGCTCACTGGCTGTTTGATTTGCTGCTGTTGGTCAGAGAAGAACTTGTGTGTGGACTGAAGTACCTCAGCACGCTGCTTAGCCTTAGACATAAAAAGGGGAAACAAATGAGTTTTGATGGTTCTTTCATACAGAAACTGCAGGAACACGCTAAAAATAAATCCAGTCATGTGGCAAAGAGCTGGAAATCTTTCCCAAAAATTGCCTCTTTCAAGATGCACAGGAAATGAATCGGAAGACAGGATGCAAGTAGACATACAATGGAGCAGGTTTTTGTTACTACTCTCTCTAGTGTGCAGAAATAACTGCATAAACTTCAGAATGATTAAATCTCTGTACTTGGGTAAAATTGGTCAGCACCCATTCACCAGCTAGGCCATTTTTACCCAAATTCAGCAATATCAAGGAAAAGAAAAGCCACACAAATTAGACACTGGTATACTGGAATTCAAATTCCACCCCCCAGAAAAACCTCTGTGTTGATTAAAGTAACTGTAAAACACATGGTGCATTTCCAATGTGTCTACACTGTAAAGCTACTAAAGATATATGTGCTTATAAATTGTCAAGTTCTAATAACTGGTGGATGATGGGTGTCAGATTTGTACTTAAGAATGAACCATAGGGCAAGCTGAATTTGTAATTATATCCTTATTTACATTTTGTAGGTTGCTCCACAATTACTGTTGCATTGGAAAATTGACAATGAAAGATTTTCCAGATAAAAATATAATTCTCTTTCAATATCCCAAGTATGAAAGGCAATTCACATTCCCTGAACAAGTGGGAAGTCAGATCTTAAAAGTATAATGGCCTGTTATAAAACACCCTCTAGTGTTGATGGTGAAGTTTCTTTACAATTAAAAAATACTGATACTTTTATTAAATATTTCAGATCAATTGGTTAAGCTTTAAAAAACTGGCATATATTTCTACACAGAATCTCAACTGTCCACAATTCAAGTTTTGGTTAAGACCACAGCTTCATTTGGTGTCAAGGTTTCTATTAGGTATAATTTATTTACTATTTTTCTACACAACTGCCAGTAAAGCTAACCTTCAAATCCTGTTCAGCCATCATTGCAGCTTGGACCTGGTTTCCACGGATCCCCTGTGCAGGTCCTGAAGGAACCCTTGGTGTATGCTGAGGACGAGTATGGCAGATAATACCTGTGGTCATTTGAGGTTGCATCTGATTTGCCAGGGGCATTGGAGGCCTCTGAACAGGAGCTGAAAAAGTATTTCCATGAGGTCTTACCAATGGAGGGACCAGGTTAGGTTGGGAAAGCATCTGGTGAAAACAATTAGAATGGAATGTAACTCCCCACTTACATTTGCGCTGTGTGGTGACTGCATCATAATCAGTAGTACCATTTTAAACACTAAGCTACATAAAACACAAAAAGGTCAAGGCAAAACAGGATTCTCATATCAGAATGGCTAGGAAAGCACTTAGGGATGCAGTAATTGTCAATGTTCACTAACTATTAAGGCAGCAGGAACACAGGCACATCAACATGGATCTTGTTCCTGATAATCGTCCAGTGACTCTTACTATAATGTTTCTATGTATGGATATTAAATGATCATAAGTACTGGGTCCAGAATTGGGATGCTTCCCCAAGTCAAACATCTTGGCAATATTTACTGTTTGCATTTGCACCAAATAATGTCCACGTGTGTAAGATATTAGAGAGTTGCTTGTCTAAGCATATACTTCAAGTCCAGTAAGTATATTCAGGAAAGGAGACGTGTTTCCAATTGGATAATCTAGGAACAAAGCAGATGACTTGACTGCTTGAATATTAATTTCATTTAAAAACCAATAACTTTCTTTCATGATAGGCATTAAAGGGTTTTGATACATTAAGATTAATAAAACTGATGTTATATAAACAATCTAATTGCTAATAAATGTACATTTCTGACAACAAAGACTCAATTTGAAGACAGATTTGTTAGCCATATCAGGTGTTTGATTAGGGTGGTTTGCTGTTGAAACTAATCAGTTTAAGCGTTCTACTGAGTTGGCTTTAATGTTTCAAGACACTTAAACAGATGGAACAGTTAACTCTCAGTATGTTTCAAACAAGTTTATCCATTTAGCTATGCTCCTCTTTTGAGGGCTGCCTTCTCAAAAAACTCTCAATCTTGCTTAATATTTGTTTAAGCAATCTTGCTTCAACTGCTAGAATGAAATTATGCAGAATTTCTTTTCTTTGAAGCCAGTCATCAAAGCACGATTTACATGAAAAAAAATAAAGTTGCATGTTTTAGTTTTTGATGGGATAAAGCATTTCAGACATAAGGAGGAAATTCAAAAATTAAAGATAAAGTCAGTCAAAGAGAAGAGTAAGGAAGCAGAATGTTTCACCAATGGGTATAAGCTAAAACCGTTAAAAAAAACTACAGGGAAGCTGTTTTATAAACATACTGGGTGTTTTTAAAACTTTTATTTTAAAACTTTTCAATTTGGAAACTTAATATCAGAAATCTCTTTCCTTGTGGAGGAGGAGGGGGGAAAGGTTAAAAGTGGGAAAAGTGCATTCTT